TGCGTTAGTAAGCTAATTACGTTAAGTTTTTAATAAATGAGTCGGAGCGAAAGTGCTCGTGGGTATTTGTTTAAAGCTATGAGTTTGTCATATCGGGGGATAACCAACTTCCCGTCATTAAAACAGGTCGAAAATTGTTTAAAAATACGAAGGTTCTTATGTGGACCATTTCATTTGGTAAAGATAGAGCACTGACTAACATGTTTGTCAGTGTAGCGAGCATTTGTCTGTTAGCAGGGCGTTATGTGTACCTGTTAGGTTGTTGGTTATGTCATCAGTTCGTTTGATTTATTATAAATGGGAGATATGTAGTTGGAGGGCAGTTTAGTGAAAGAAATGCATTGGGGAGTGACAGTTGTGGTAGAGTTGGCTGAATGGATAAGAAGTATTTTTGAGGAGTGATCAAGAGAAACATTCAAGGAGTTTTTGAGGCTAGAGATAACTGTCTGTGTAAAAAGAGTATATCATTCCCTTTTAGGTCAGAGTTTATAGAGGAATGTTGGATCACCGCCCACAACAGTTGGAGGCCGCATAGCGACACCGTCGATTGGGAGAGAGTTGTACAAGGAGGTAGTGCACACTTCGAACTGAGTGGAATCAAAGAGTTGTGTTTGGTAGCTTGAATCGGGTAGTGTCACGGAGTTAGATCTAATACAACCACAAAGGACAAAAGAAAGGGTGATGGAAACCAGAATCTGATACGATTTGGATATGTCAAAGGTCTGACTATGGCACAGATGTGTTTGCGCGTGGTAGGATATCAGTGCAGGCAAGGGATTCATTAAGAGGTTTTACGAATTTATGCAATCCACCGCCATGAGTATTTGAGAGAGTAGAATCTACCATATTCATCCATACTTGACGACGAAAAAGATTTCCGTGTTTTGGTTTGTATTTTTCAACTTTGACAATAAAGACTGTGTTCTAAAGGTCGTATATATATGAGGCTTGAGTATGAATTATAATACGATCAGAGTAAGATTTTCAAAGAGCTAATAGTAATTTGTAAACTCGTGATAAGTTTGTAAAATAGTAATATAGAAAAAAATGTATTCCTGCACGATGTAAAACATATAACATCGTGTTAGGCATACTATTTTCTTAAACAGTAAACCTAGATGATCCTAACGTCCGAAAAAAGATAAAGTGTACTTACTGACCAGCAAGCATTGGTAGTGAGAGCGACGATTTAAATCCATATGCGTTTGTGAGGCAAAAGGTCTTCATAATTGATGGTGACCCAATCGATCAATGATACTGATGTTGTTCTCCTATTCTCTCTATTCAAACTCGTGTTTCCAGTTTTATGTTGAGTTAGCCATCCTGCTATAACGTGCTAACTCAGACTTTTACGTCATAACCTAGTGGCCGGGATCATATGAAAAACATTGGGGAAAAACAGGCAGTAAAAGATATGGTTACTAGTTTTTCTGTACACTTTAATCTTTTTTCGTGCATTTTGGAATCTGATAACCAGGCTTCCTGATTCTAACATCAACTTCCCTCCCATCATTTGAACCCATTTCACCTTGTAACGCATCACAACTCATCGTTATTCATCACTGCGTTCTCCTATCTGAAGACCCTAACCATACTTCATTCTAGTAAACGCAGCTAGTGTAACTTTTATCTTCTTATTCACTATACCGTTGTCCGTTCCATTATGAACATTTAAGTGTCGTTGTTGAGTTATATTCAAATGCATGATTGCTCCCTTGTTCCTCTTTTCTCAGATGTGGAGCATCTCACGCTGAAACAAACTTATCTGGCGCATCTTCCAAGGTCACGGCTCATACTGAGCACCCTTCAAATTTACTTTATGACGACTGTTCACTTAAGAAGTTATGTTGTACAAATACTTAGCAAGACCAGAATCCTAACAAAATAATGTCGAATTTGGACCTGGTGTGCTCCATGACGGTCGTAATGCGAATGCGGTTCCATTTTTGAAAGATTGTAAATACTGCACGCAGTCAATACTAAAAAATAAACTCAGCCATCAACTCTGTAGGGCATCTGCACTAATGTACCGACTTATTTTTATTGAATTCACTTATTTAATAACTACACATACGAAGCATACTGTAAGCGAACTGATGTTGCGACTTATAAATCATTCCTATAAAAACGACATGTAATTGCCGTGGCAGAAATATATTATATTATTGAATTGCATTTTATACTGCGGTACATTTGACAACCACGTGCTGTTGGAAATGATTTTATGACAATCCAGTTCTCAGATTTTCCAGCCTATCATAACTGCATTAAGATCTCCTTAGTTTATACATTGATGACGGAGTGTTTAAATCGTCTATCAAGATATCACACCTCACAATCTGGACCTCAGTAGATCAAATTGAAGATGCCACAGATATTCGGAGTTTGACAACGCTTTAACCAGTAACGCCTTCTACTATGAATTGTACCCACCAAGTGAAATCAAAAGACGGAAGTGAGGAGGTTCAAATATATATTTGATAGGCTATCAATATATCGAGGAAATTCCACTGAGCCCTACAAAATCAATCAGCAACTCCTGTCTTTTCCATTTCAAGTGGATACTGACTAATAAGCACATCTCAGTTTATTGAAATGTGTTGTCGATGACGGTGGATGCGACAGTATTTCTGATGAATAGTACTGCCCCTCCATTATGCTTACGAGTTCTGCTTGCTTCTAATATCGTGAAACTTTTGAAATATAGTTCCCAACTGTCAACAGACTGTGTTAGACCAGTATCTGTGATAGTGACTAAATCAGGCTTGGTAGTATCTCTCTGTACATATAGCTCCGATCGTCTGTTGTGAAAGCTCCGAAACTTTGTGTAGCAGGTCCGAAGACCATTTATATAATAGTAAAAATACATTTCTGCAATGGCAGGTACATGCCATTTTTATAAATATGATCTACAAATTACAACATTTGTCGGCTCAAAGTATACTTCTCAAGTAGGGTCATTAGGTAGACATAATCATTAAAAATGAATAACAGTACTTTCGTGCAGATGTCTTGGAGCGTTAATGATTAGGATTATGCCTTAGTATTACACTAAGTACAGTCTTCAAAATATTTTCCAAAGTGACACTGCGTCCACTTTACACACCAGATCCAATTTCAGCATAGTTGTGTTAGAATTCTGGTCGTGCTAAGTATTTATGCAATACAACTTTTAAAGTCTATAGTTGTTATAAAATAGATTTGTAGAGCGCTCGGTGTGAACTATGACCTTAAGAATGTGTTCGTGCTGCACACGAATTGGCTTCGGCATCGTTCTCTGTCAAAGCCTTATCACCCGAGGATCTTCACTTAGAACGTCATTCTAAACAGCGTCTTACCTTAGTTTTAGTTCATATCAGCTTCTCATATTTTTATACGGTCAGTGAGAGGCAAGTCTCTTCTGTCAAAAACCTCTGACCCCTCTATTTTATATCCATTATGCAGTATCAATTCCCTTAGATTGAGAGAGTGAGATACTAATTTTAAAAGCCAGGTTTGATTCTGTCTTCAAGTACATTTAAGTACTTAGTCACCATACCTTTTGCAAGATGACTTCAGAGATTTCCTGATCTGGTCTGGTAGATACTTTATCAACTCGATTTCATGCTCAAAGAGAGTTCTGAGCCCTCATTTAGCTTGAATCGATAAAAAATTACCTGTCACAATTTGAATAGCATTCAGTTTATGAGCTACTGTTTGTAGGACTAGCTATTCTTTGGCAACATTGTATCATTACAGGCTATTGATTAATTCCTTTTCATCAGCTCTCATTGGAGTAGCGATCACAGTCGCGCTACATGCCGTAAGATCCTGGAGGATTGTCGAGGACCTGTGTGGTTAAATTGTTTTTCCAGCTGTAAACAGACCTAGGGCGAGAGACAGAAGAAACCCTCTCTTGAGCTTATATTTCTAACAGACTTCAATATCGATCCGTCCTCCTCTGGTCCATGTAGATCACCCGTCTCGGAGCTTATTTGAGGTAACTTCACGTAAATTTGTGTAATGATTAAGCGGGTACCATTTAATGTTTCTCGATTACACTTGCTTTACTAAGCCGTTTGAAAGTCGCGGGCGTTAGATTCGTGAAAACGTCGTAGTACCATCTATTGCACTAATCGCACCTTGACTTCTCAACAGCTTTCGATAAGGCCAACCATATATATCTTGTCAATAAGCTCAGACGATTAGATATCAAACCACGTTTATTTGATTGGCTCACTTCATATCTAGAAATCGACATTTTAATGTCAGGGTTAACTTCACTTTCAGGCTATGCTGTGTCCTACTGGGGTCCCCCAAGATTCAGTACTAGGACCTCTTCTTTCCTTTATTTATGTAAACGATCTTCCACAGTAGGTATCGTTAGATTGATTACTTTTCACTGATAACGTAAAACTCTGAAGAGCACACACAAACTGTCGTATCAAAAGGATCTGACTCGACTTCAAAGTTGGGCAGACAACAGCAGACTTACCTTTAACATTTCAAAGCACAAAGTAATACATCTGAGACGTTTTACAGACTACGAATACAACTTAGGTAACTCCCCTCTAGAGGTATTTCAAGTTGGAAAAAAACCCTTGAGTGCTGATATCCCATGATCCGCGACATAAATGCCTTCCAGGCAAACCTTACGCTGGTATCACTAAAGCGCATTTTTAGGCAGTTCGAGGGAAGAAATTTTCAATTAACCTTAAACAGTTTTATTCGATTTCATGGTATGGGAGTGTAATATTTTCTCCCTCAGTCAAAAAGTATAAGAACACATGAGCGGATCCAACGGCGATCCACGAAATCAGGTCGGGAACTCAAATTCAATCCTTATGAAGAGCACCTCCAATCACCGATCCTTTACCCATCCGAGTTCAGGCGTATAACAGGTGACGTTCTAATGACCTACAGCATCCTAATTACTTTTGGACATCCCTTTAAATACCTAAAGTTTAGTTCCAACACAAATTTAGGGGGTAGCACCCAGGAACTGGAGACAACAAAACAGAATGGACTGTAGATGCACCTACTCCCTAAGAGTAACCAAATGCTGGATTTCGCTGACGGCTCAGCTAGTCCAAGCGACTTCCCAGGAGTCCTTCAAGAGGAAACCTGATATGTTCTTAAAGACTAAGGTTAGTATCTTACTATGATTTACCAATTTCTTTTTCCTCATGGTAATATACCTAGGTTCCTGTCTGGAGGTATCGGTGATCCACCGCTACTAGATACAAAAGCCCGTTAAGCGAAAGCTTCTATTCCATTCCAAACCATTCGAACCACCTCATACCACTGTCCTCAGGGTACCAATAAACTGGGCGTTGGCAACTACTCTTTTGCACTGTCCGGTCAATAATCATAGGTCTTCACAAGAAACTAGACATAAAAAATACTCAGAGACAGAAATATGATGATCACAAAAGAAGTATAAGATCCAAAAGTGTAAACAAATTCAAGAAAACCAATGTACTCGAAAAAGTACATTTTCGAGTTATTTTCGAGAAAATCGAAACTTTTAGCGATTTCCTTGACTGGAATATACGTAGCGAGGATGTAAACAGTAGTCTTGATGCGGAATAAACGATTACAACAATAAAATTAACTGAGCGAGGCAAAATACTACTGTCCTTTTAATATGGCGCGCATTAATGATCTTTAGTCTATACTAGTTTTAGAGGAACATTATTATATATATTTTGAAATAGAGGTTGAATGCCACTTGAACTTCTGTTGATCTTCTGAAAAGTTCTGACTCGACGTTTGTGCAATGTATCAACGTGTTTTTGTAGAATACCTTGATTCTGATGGTGAGGTTGAATAGTGTGATTTCTTCGGTTTTGATTTTAGAATCCAATCTCTATAATGTCTAAGGGAATAACATTGTGTGGCCAACAAATTGCCCAAGGTATAACTACACTAATTTTGTGCTCATCATTTCAGTTATTGGTCAAAAAATTAGATCAGATGTGGCTTATTTAAAATCAAACTTCAACATTTCTCCCAAATTGGTCGTTATTGAAGTAAGTTTCCTGGGTCTTTTATCGTTTTAGTCTCCGCAATGCGTTGTAATTTAACAGATGCTTGTAGCTTATTGACTACTTCCTTAACTGGACACATCGCAACTGTTAATGTCACATGCTTGGATTCATGCTACCGCCATCTGCAAAACATCAATAACTTAATGGGTTATTACTGTTCCTGTTAAAACCCTACAACTTAGTCGCATTAAAGTTTGTGATTTATATGATTAGCCTCAGGATTCGTTTGTGGCTGTCACATTTAAAATATATAGTTTTATGCATGCGGTTCTCTTACCTTGAGTAACGTTTTCTTTGCCTAATAACTATAATAGTCCGTTTCATGGAATTACTTCGATAAACGTAACTATGATGTTTTTTAAGTCTTTCTATACTTTGTCGACACTTCAAAGTTTAACACTACGGTCGATGTATCTGCATTACGACTGAATCTAGTTAACTGATGACCGGTCATTAGTGTGAAAGGAAATAAACCGTAAAAGTGATTGCTAACGTACTGGGTAATTCACTAGACTATAAGCCACATCTGTTGTTTGGTGACCTACTATACTATACACTTGTGCTTACGATCAATTCAGCTTTTGTAAGCACTTAAGCGTTAATTGAAGTATTGATTACGTTAAGAAAATTTAATTTTTTAGACCTGAATTTCAATGTACTTGAATGTTAAGGTTAACATGATTTTCGAGGTTTCGAGAATGAAATCAACTGGTCGATATCTAAGTTCGTGCCCAAGTATGTGGTAACTTTTCGAGCGCCACACTGCACCGTACTTATGTTAGTTACACCAAGGATTTATTCACAACTGATAACAAGTGCGTCTCTGGAGAATCTTATAGCTCCTTTTTAAATTATTTGATGTTGCAACCACTTTTGTCATCTGCAAAGTTAGTGTTATTATTAGAGTTTAATCAATTGCACTGTTTTCGAGGTAAGGATGTCAGTGCCCAACCACTAGAGACAATCCTGATAGCTGTTAAATCAGACCCTATTGTATTTATCATATATTGTATCCTTACAATTCATAATTGTAGTTTTTTATTGCTCAATCAAGTAAGATAGTCCAAAAGTGTCACTTTCAAGGTAATCAGTTTACAGTACTTCACTTTCCATCACAGGTTCATGTTTTTAAGCAATAGCTGATGCTTACTCATAAAGTTAGTTGAGATGCACGTACATCGTACACCCTGAATGTGTTGATTGGCAGTTATAAATATCAGATACGGAACTCAAGAAGATTTGCTTTCATGTCAAAACAATTGCATAAAAAAGCCTTGTTGGGTGCGTCGAATATTTGATAAGTGATCAGTTATGAATGTATTTAATTGCGTTGCAACGCTGTTAGTTTACTCGAAGCCTATATTTCCATGGCGTTCTGACTCTCCAGTGTTTTGTCACTAGTAGCCCCCAAATGCCCTGGTACGGCTCAGGGTGAGGAGAGTCAGCTCTCCGTTTCGAAATGCTCTCACATGGCCACGCGTATACAGCCACTGTCAGGGAAGTCCTACTCACTGCCTTCTTGTGGCAAGGGTGTTCTTTACGAAATTGAGAGGACGAAAAGTGAATGTCCAGCGCTTCAACTGGGTTGGTGGATATGGAGAATCCACCTAATGGAGTTGGGAAACCCTGATTCCAAACCAATGGTGCACATGGGCTCGAGAATCCTGAGGTAAAAGTGGCGTGTGAACCAATTGTTGGTCACCGGCTACCACGCAACTGCATCTCCTGATGTTGCTCCATTGTCTTGTGGATCATACCTTTAGGTCGAAGGCTCCGAGTGAGGCCCCCTAAAAAAATTACCTGCTTCGGTCTGCGCACCCGGGCAGTATCACAGCCCACACACAAATCAAGTGACTTGTGTGGCGCATATGTGTTTGGTGCCCCTTTGTACCAATATTTATGTGTTCAAATAAATAATAATTAAATAAATCTAGTTCTAAAGTTCATGTATACAGAAAAACACTAACTTCGTTTACAACCAGAGGTTAAAACTAGCATTATCTTCACTAAGAAGTTACAATTTAGCTGAACTGTTTTCTTCCCAATGACTAATATTATGAATTTAATTTTCTACTTAAAATTAAGATGGAATTAATAATTTAAGTTTGAAAATAAAAAATTATTTATCTTACTTCTAAACATGAACTGATTGATTTGATGATATCTTTATATAATACATTTAAATCGGCCAAAATTCCACGAACCAAAGGTAGTTCAGACTTTTGTTTTTGACAACCACAAGCAATGTGTATTAAAGAAGGAAGGATATGTGGATCTAGAAAGTATGAACAGTGAGTCAATATTGGAAGGAAGAAATTATTTTTTCCTAAATTTAGCTTTACTTTCCCGAGCTTTGGCATCACATCAAAATTTCAGCCTAGACAATAATATTTCTCTGTAAGCATACGGTGGAGCAGTTTTAAAAATACAAAAAATTACGCCGTGTATAAAAGGTAGGAAAAAGTACACTCGATATAGCAGTTTATTTACCTGATAAGTAACAACACATAGCATCCATGCACGGTAAGCTAGCTATAACGACATCTATTATCGGGATGATTGCTCGTAAACTATTGTAGTACGTGACAAAGTGGATGAGGTGAGGTGCATCTTCACAAACTTTACGCAAGTAAACACCAAAAGTAGGTAACACTTCGGAAAATGAATTGACTAAAAAGAAAATTGACAGACCAAAAACAATTTGGACAAGACAACTAATAAAGAAAAAAAAAGGCAAATAAATAAAAATTCAACATTGGTAACCTAGATTGTTTGTGATTGAAAGATATGTTTTGAAAGTCATAGAAATGCGGAGAATCCATTTTTATTTGGATATTAGGGATGGGCCCCCAAATGCCCTGGCATGGCCGAGAGTGGGGTGGGCCCACCCTCCCTCTCGAAATGCTGTCACACGGCCACGCGTATACAGCCACTGCCAGGGAAGTCCTACTCGCTGCCTTCTCGTGGCGGGGGTGTTGTTTACGAAAATGAGAGGACGAAAAGCGAATGTTCGGCGCTTTAACCGGATTCCAAAACAATAGTGCACATGGGCTCCAGGATCCTGAGGGATTAAATGGCGTATGAACCAATTGTTGGTCACCGGTTACCATGGGACTGCATCTCCTTACGATGCTCCACTCCCTTGTGGATCAGACAATCAGGTCGAAGGCTCGGGGAGTGGCCCTCTAAGAAAACCACTTGCTTCGGTTTGGGCACCCGGGCAGTATCACAGCCCTCACACATATCGAATGAGATTTGTGTGGCGCATATGTATTTGGTGCCTCCTTGTACCAATATTTGTGTTCAAATAAATAAATAATAAATTTTTCACCAGTGCTGAACGTCGTTCGCAAGGTTTAACCAGTGTAAAAGCCGTTCATTTTATCGGTTATCTATTGTTTTCACAACTTGGAAATGCTGTTGTGCGTTAGTTTTTCCCAAAACAGTTGCTCGTCGTTTTTTAAAGATGAATTAGTCTCTGATTTGTGGCTTGGTAAGCAAAAGCAATCCTCGTGTTCTTTCTAGGGAGATAATACTGTTTCACTTTCTTTGCTTCTCTCACCGTGTTTCGTTCCTGTAATTTTTCTTTTTATTCCATATGATTTTTCTATATGCAGGTTGGTAATCTACCTCAGTCAAAGTTGTACATAACGCAAAAATCCAAATTTGCAGAAAAGTATGGCATACTTTTGTCTCACATGCGATTTCCATCACATATACCTGAGTCAGTGGTAAGATAGATTAACAAAGAAGTTGATGATAATAAAGCTTTTAGATTACGTTTATAAGTTGAATTCTGATTCATCAGTGCACGGTATCACTTTACAAGTAAGTTGTTTAACTGTGATTCCAATTGTTACTTAAACCAGCAGTAAAATAGTTGGGCCCATTGACCACTTAACTTATATTTGAAGTCTCATCAGCCATATTGGGTTAGTGTTTAACAAAATGTCGGTCCAAATTCAGAAAGCTTGCTTGGCTTTTGTCACCTTGTTTTACCTATGGTGTGGACTAAATAACCATCACGTAACTAACAAATGAGTATACTACTTAACATTTTTCTCTTAACTTCTGTTTGTGATGCGTGGCCCATAAGGTAAGAGTATAAGATGCTAGTTGACTATTGTTATTGAATCAGAGATGTATCCGAATCATTTTTCTTATATGTTGAAACCACTGAGTAAACATTGCTGAGGTTAGGCTCAGGGTATTAAGATGGCGAATTTGTTGATATGATTGTAAGTCTTTATTGAGTGAGTTGTTTGGGACGTGCTTTACGTATCCTCGACTACTACTTACCTCAATGCTCTATGTTGGTTGACATGAAAGTAGAAGGCCATGAGTGACCAAACCAAAACGTGACATCAGTGTGCTAAGTCATTGACTATTGGTCTCAGCCATATTACGTGGTTGGGATCCGCACAACCATCGTAACTATGAGTTGAAGACTGGGTGACGTGGCTCAGAAGTGATCTCAACATCACAGATTCATTTATTTTTTGTCCTCACTTATACAGTTAGCTTCAGAATTATTTTACCCATTTTATTCCGCCAATTAATTTTTTCTCTGATCATATTGTCCATACTTTATATTCTTCACTAGCACCGGTACTTCTACTAATTTCTTATTCACCTGTATACTTATATCTCTTTATGCTGATATTATGTGAATGTAGATAGGGTCAGTCAGCTACAACGTAGGACCAGGCGCACATATGCATCGGTGGATAAATGCAAATACTTGCCAAATTACAAATTTTCTGTCTGACCGATTGACCATATACGACTTTTGTGACATTTCCGATTTACTGGCAGATATTTTAGCCTGGGCCTCGTTTGGTTTGGTGACTTGCACACTAGTATTCGGGGTTTCTATGTACTGACATGTTAGCTTTAATTTAGCCTTCCTTTTCAATACAGCTTCTCCACTAAACTCAAAACATTTTCCAATAAAAAAATCAACTTCGTAGATTGTTAATCTCATTGTAAGTTGCTTATATTAGACAGACTTGTCGAAACACAGTGCAATGATAAAGTAATTCTTCAGTCTTGCTTGTTTTGCCATAATCCGAAGCAGTGTATAGCGTTGAAAGATGTTTGGAAGGGAGATAACGTTTAATACAAACTAGTCAATAAGCCATATTACAAAAACATTTTGGATTTTAAAACTGTGTTTAAAAACAACCGTTCAGTGGTTAACTGTACGAGCAGGGTACTGAAATTATTGCTCGAACACCCGAAATTTCGGCAACCCTATATACCGACTTATTATTCAAGTGGAAAATTTACGTTTCCTCACCAAATTTAGTTAACATAATAAGTATGAATAACCAGTGACTAACTGTATGTTTAGATGAATTATATCTGTCCCCAAATGTGTTAGTTAATTACCTATTTGTGACTGCTGTTTAAGTTAAGGTATTCTACTGGGATTAAATGTATACTTTCACCATTGTTATTCGGTTTCGTTCTACAAAAAAAAAACTAATGAGTTCAACGATATTTAGCCGTACATTAAAAAAAATATATTGCTCACATGAAATTACTGTAATCTACCCAAAGTGTACGAAATTCAAAAACTGTTACATATAGTATATTGTCATCAACGTCTTGAGTGAGTCTAAGAATAAAGAATAAAATGACGATAAATAAAAAAATATCTGGCACATGACATTTGATAAAAATAATATAATTTGTCTTCACTTTACTTAAAATTAGAATATAAAGTACGCGAGTACTTGAAAAGATGAACCAACCTTAGTGAGGCAGTGACTGATGAATTGTCAACGTGAATAAGAAAGGCATATTTAACTCAGTCTATCTAATAGATGTCATAGATCGTCGATGTACCACATGCACTTCAAAATAATTGTATGTTCTGTAACTACTAAGTAAGTAATGTTAAGGTTTTATGTATAGATGTTTCGTAAGTTAATGGATATTTTTAAGTTGTAGAGATCAAATGTTAAAATTCCCAAATCATTGTCTACCCCAATATGTTCTGTTGGCTTAAGGAGATTTAGATTGGTAGTTGCCGAGAATAATGATACAAAAGCACTAGGTTGTTGTGTAGGTAGGTATCTTATAGATGGGACTCCTGTTTAATGATATTTATCTTAACGTTTTATTATACCTATCCTTATTCTGTAATAATAGTATTCGGGGTCCCTTAAGTGACGTGAGTCAGTGGCATAGGTGTATTCATTCCTTGTTCTTATTTAAATCCTGATCATTTTCACATTATTTGCTTTTCGTTTTTAACTCTTGTTTCTACTTTTCAGTATATTTCCATGCCTGTGTATATTATTTGTTTACTCTGTTACGAATTATGAACCTACATATTTTTATGTGAACACTGATGTACGTTAAGCATCAGGCGTGTTTCATCCTGTGTTCTATTGACTGGTGGGATTTTCCCTTTCCAAAAAGGGATAGAGCTTTTAACAATGTCTACATTTACTTCTGACAAGCTTTGCTAGAAAAATTTCCTAAGCATAAAAAATAGTATATTAGTATAAAAGTTATTCATTTTTGGTTAGTCACAATTCACCAAACCAGTCATCACATAGCCATTAGGAAATAATTTGTTTGGTTGTGATCTATTAAAGTATTTTTCCTGACCGTTGTTGCTACCTTGACGTGGTGGTCGGGCTTGCCTATCGTGATGAAGCAACCGAGCTATACTGGCTGGAACAACCGTTCCTCAAGGTCCTACCATGTCAGACAGGTCGGTTGAAGAGCGGTAAGACTAAAAGCAACAAACCCAAGGTCCGAAGGCGAAGTCGTACTGCTGACTGTACAGAGGTGTGACAGCAGTAAGGTGTTTCCTTCAGACAACCAGCATGACAGCGATGCTGCCTTCCCACAAGGAGGGGTGGGGTTAGAAAAGGTCGACCCTAAAAATGCACACCTCGCCTTATCCCACGGATATCCGTCTCCGGCGATAAGGTCTCAATAAGTACGGAGCTAACACAAAAATTACCCATAACAAGGTCGTGTGTGACCGACCTCAAGCAGTTGTCCCTTGGGCACTTCGGTCACGCTCTCAGGTCACTAAGACCACCTTTAATCCAATTTCCCTTTCAGGTACCTCCAGAACAACCCTTCCACGGTGTGGGCAACCGGGAAGTGATAACCGCCCTCATACCTCTAACAGCACTCAAGACCACTGTATTCATAATCAACCTCCCTCTTCAATTCCTTTTATTCCTCCTGCATCGACTTTCAACTTTAAATTTCCTCTCTCGGCTTCCACCTCAAGTGTCACCATAGCCAACGATTCTAGTGCGCAAAACACTGTCCCAGGTCTACTGAAACCTCGCTCCAAACTACACGTTAGAGCCTTCAACGTACGAACCCTATGTCAAATCGGTCAGCAGGCTTCCTTGGCTAAAACCCTAGAGTCTCTTACCATTGACGTGTGCTGTGTCTCCGAAACACGCATACAGGATTCCAGTGTGGTTATTCACTTGACCTCACCTCGGCAAAACGGAGAGCCAACGAGATACACCCTTCGTGTATCTGGTGACCCGATGGCAAGTTCTCGTGGACTGGCAGGTGTAGGCATAGCACTAAGCATGAGGGCCGAACAAGCACTGCTAGAGTGGATCCCCGTCAACAGTCGTCTATGCGCTGTTCGGCTGAACGGCTACGTAAGAACTCGGAAGGATAGGGACTCAAATAGACCATATTGCCATCAGTCATCGTTGGAGAGGGTCGGTAGAAGATTGTCGCTCATTCTGGAGTACCTGCTTGGACTCCGACCATGCCCTAATACGGGCACGCATCTGCTTGCGCCTCACTGGACGCAAAAAAGCCACATTAAAAAGACCCGTTAAAACTGAGTTGAGTAACGAGAAAACCAAAAGTAGGTTCCAGGAACAACTGAGGTCACGATTAAGTAGTTGTGAAGACGAGGCTGACCCAGATGTTGCTTGGAATGAAATACAATCAGCTGTGGAAACAGCAGTGACATCAATTAGTGACTTAAACCACAGAGTTGCAAGGAACCAGTGGATTTCTTCAAGGTCTGTCACACTGATGGATTCTCGCCAACTCGTCCCATCAGGTTCTGAACATGATGAAGAGCGAAAACAAATCAGATCTAGATTAAGAAAAAGTCTAAGGAACGACCGTGAGCAGTGGTGGGCAACGAAAGCAAAAGAGATGGAAAAGGCGGCGACTATAGGGAACACAAGACAGCTTTACAGACTAATAAAAGAAACTGGAATTAATAAGTCAAGTGAGATTATTTCGGAAAAAGATGATACTCTCATCTGCTCCCAGTCCAGACGTTTAGAACGATGGGCGGAACATTTTAGAGAACAGTTCAACTGGCCTTCAGCTACTCTACAACTACCCTCCATTCCCAGACAATGTGAATGGAACATTGAATTAGGTCCCCCAACTCTTGCTGAAGTTCAAAGGGCTATAGTTATTCTGAAACGAGGAAGGGCAGCTGGTCCAGATGGATTGGCTCCATAGGTCTTTAAGGATGGTGGTCCAATTTTAGCGATTAGGTTGACTAATATTTTAGCTAAGATCTGGGAATTAGACTTTATCCCATCTGACTGGTCGCAATCACTTATCGTCCCAATATATAAGAAAGGGTCAAAATCATCCTGTGACAACCATAGAGGGATTAGTTTAACAAACATAGTATCTAAAATACTGGCCTCGATAATTATCAAACGCCTAACTAAGACTCGTGAACTACAAAATCGAGAGAACCAAGCTGGCTCTAGACCTGGTCGTGGCTGCATCGACCACATATTCACCATTCGTCAGGTTCTAGAACACAGGCATACCTATCGGCGTCCGACGATAGTGGTCTTTCTCGACTTAAAAGCAGCATTTGACTCGGTAGACCGCGAGATACTGTGGCAGTGTCTGTCATTGAAAGGCGTACCCCAGAAGTACATAAACCTTGTGAAGGCTCTTTACTCGAACACTACTAGTCGAGTCTGAGCTTATGGCGAACTGTCATCTACTTTTGCAACCTCAAGTGGTGTCCGTCAAGGCTGTCCACTTTCCCCATCTTTGATTAACTTCATCATAGATCTACTGATGGAAATAACTTCCTCGTCGACTGAGTTCTCGGGTATTGATCTCCTTCCAGGAGGTCCACTTATCGACTTAGAATACGCAGATGACATAGTCCTGTTTGGTGAAGACGCTGACAAAATGCAGAGTCTTCTGGTAGCACTAAGCAACAATGCCAGAATGTTTGGGATGCGCTTCTCTCCCTCTAAATGCAAGTTGTTGCTTCCGGACTGGTCTGCGTCAACACCTGAACTAAGGATAGGGAGTGAAGTAGTCGAACGCGTTGACAACTTCACTTATCTTGGAGGTCTGATCAGCCCTAATGGGTTGGTATCGGACGAAATCTCAGCACGGATTCGAAAAGCTCGTTTGGCTTTTGCCAACTTACGTCACCTTTGGCGGAGGCGAGATATCCGTCTATCAATAAAAGGACGAGTATACTGCGCGGCAGTTCGTTCTGTTTTAATTTACGGCAGCGAAACATGGCTCTTAAGAGTAGAAGACACCCGTAAGCTACTAGTATTTGACCACAGATGCCTTAGAAATATTGCTGGCATCTGCTGGGATCACCGGGTAAGTAATAGTGAGGTTGGACGCAGGGTATTAGGGAATGATGGTAAATCAGTTGATGAGGTTATGAATCTTCATCGACTGAGATGGTTGGGCCACGTGTTACGTATGCCTGAACACCGATTACCACGACGTGCAATGCTAACCGGTGTAGGGGATGGTTGGACGAAAGTTAGGGGCGGCCAAACCAAAACGTGGCATCAGTGCTTGAATTCACTAACTTGTGGTGTGAGCCATGTTGGTAGATGCAGACTACTTGGTTGGGGTCCGCGTGACTATCGTAACCAATGGTTGGAGACTCTTGGTGACATGACTCAGAATCGATCACAATGGCGTCGGTGTATACACTCCCTGTCTTCCCTTAAACTAAGAGATTAAAATCACTTCATATCTTTCTTTCTACGAACTAATTCTTTCTTCCTATACTATATCCTTATTGCAACCTTTGACCTAACCACTCCTATGAATCCGCTGTTCATCTTGCTGTGCTAATGAGGTATGGCAACCTGGACCGATGCATATATGTGCCTGGTCCTACGTTGTAGCTGACTGACTGACTGATTAAAGTATTTTTATTCTAAGGGCGTTTAAATTCTAATCAAAAACAATTTTAGTGCACTAAATTGATCACTAAAATTGTGTTCACATTTCATTTCTATGTTCCTTTCCTTTTTTGAAGTTACCGTTTGATTCCGATTCAAATATTAATGTTACTAATTCACTGAATGCTGTTGCTACTCTCAAGGATGTTGAAGGGTACGTTATCTATTTATCCACTTATTCTCTTTGTATACCGTTAAGTTTTTTCCGCTAGTTTCTTTTTATCAGTAATCGGGAATAGTGTTAAACGTCAGTTGGGTTTAGATTTGTTGAAGAAGTCAATGTCCATTCATTTTTAATTACATTCGAAATAACTCTTCTGAACATTTTGCAAAATAACTTTGTATAATTAAACAGGTTATCATTATTTGTTTGACACTGAGATGATATATTATCTTTGTAATTGAAACTACCCCTCATTGCTTACTACGTGCTATGGTTTGTAGTTTCCTATTGTTGATATTAAGGGATGAATTCGCTCATTGTTGTAGCATGAACTTTCTAAAATGGGTATCTTTATTTAGAAGTTGATGATATTTTAGAAACTATCAAGCGACAGAATCCTGGACTCACATTTCACCTTGCTAGGCATCATTAGTTGGATGTAATTCCATTCGGCGTAAGACCTCATTTGCTGTCAAAGAATAATGAAATTCCATTTGGAATATTAACAACAATGAAATAAAAACCTTTGAAATTGACAACAATGCCGTGCTTACTCAACTTCATATGTGGTCGAATGAGTGCGTTGATAAGTCCTCATTTGGAATGAAATTATAATCTCTGTCCCAGTTTTCATAAACTTAACGATCAGGGAATATAAACTAAAACGAAAGTAGGGTTTAGAAGTATGTTGGTACAATTAGTCAAATGGAAAATACGTAAGTACAACCTTGTGATAATCAATAAGTAGGTATAGAATGATATATTATTAATTACGTGGTTCGATTACCACGTTATTATTCAAAACTAAGTCAGCATCTAGATATGAAGCATGATAATCATAATATTCGCTTATGTCCCTACAACAGATTTTAAACCTTTCCATCCAGAGTCTGCAATTATTCAGTGTTTTGAGAACCTCAACCTGACAAAATGCAGACAAAAACTGCTCATATTTTTGTGGCTCTCCAGTTACCTTTTTTGAGTGAGAATGTTGTCAAATCGATCGGGTATCTACGTATTTCTTTGCCAAGTCATGTCTTTTTGCGGTATATTTCGAATGAATAACGTGACATTTAAACAAGACTGGTCCATTATTGGGTGGACTATATATTTCTGAAATATGTACTCAGGTTGGCAAAAACATTTGTGACTGCATAGCTTTATTAATTTTTAATTCACTCGGTAGGTCGGTATGTTATTTGCTCATACGTTTTCTTTCTATATTACAATTTTTAATGTTCTTAGTAGTTGATGTTTAATTTTTAAATAATCTCCAGTGTTTGTTTTTGTTGGTATCAAAGGAAATACATCAAATCACATTTATCATTAGTTGATATATGCTTGCCAACGAACATCACTTGCGTTACGGATGTTCACTTTATCGCTACATATTCCAATCTGTACGATAGTTTTTAAAAAATCTATAGGCCTAAATTCCGCGTAGTTTCAAGGAAACTATATTTCTATTCAGTTAGTCTTAAAGACTCACTGATAATTTCCTTGTGTCTTAAAGTATATCATACCTTTTATAGACACTTATCTTCGTAGCAATTTTTCTGCTTGTTCTTTACCTTTAGTCTAAATGCTTATAATACAGCTGTATTAAGTCGTGGGGATATACTATGTCCTCACTGTGAAAACGTAAAACAACAGCATGTTCATATACCTTGTACAGCAGCCGCATGCTATGCTTTTATTCGTCATGTTAATTTTCCTATAATTGGTTCACGCTGTGTAATCATTGGTGGTGGTCGTCTTGTTGGAGCACCCACAGCGGACTTGTTGTCACGGTCGTGCGGTGCAACAGTTATACAATGTCATATACAGTCAAATAATATTAACGAAGAAATTAAGCGAGGTGATGTTGTCATCTCAGCAGTTGGACATCCAAGATTAATAAAGGGTGAATGGATTAGACCAGGAGCATTGGTAATTGATTGCGGCTATTCTGTTCTGAATGGTAAGTGGAATTAAATCTGTTGTTTTAAGCCTTAATATGTTTTTTTGTAAACAAGTTTTCACGTAACTGAATACTATAAAAATAATTACTTATAATTTCAATACCATTACTTTCATGCTTATTAATTTACGTTCACTGAACTGCTAATGAAGTATGGCAATTTGAACTGACGGTTTTTCGTTCTAACTTGTACAACTCGAATATGTGATGGACATGGTGGATTGGTGGTGTGCACGAGAAAATGATTCAGGAAGAATATGTTATACATTGGTTATTGATGTACTTGTAATAACTTGAAGGACGTAAACTGTGATATGTATGGTTTGCTATCAGTGGTATGGGGACGGTTTGTCATTTCCCGGTTGCTTACGTCATGAAAGAATAATTTTCCATGGGTGATCTAAAAAGGAATCTGTCTTAGTAGTTAATTTAGCTACCTGAAAGCGTAACCACAGAGACCAAGAGACAACTACTTGAGGCCAGCCACATACGACCACTTTGTGGTCAGATTTTGATGTGTTAGTTCCGTACATCAAAAGGCCTTATCACTGGATTCAGAAATTCTCTGGGTAGTGTGAGGTGTGACATTTTAGGGTCTACCTTTTCTAACCTCCTCTCTTTATTGGGGATGGTATTGTGGTGTATGCTACTGTATCATCAATCGAAGGTAAATTGTCTGGCGACAGAAGGTTAAGAAGATCAAAGAAAAGAGAACGAGAACAGAGAATAATTGGTGTGGAAATGAAGGAGCAGTGAAGTCTGAGACGATTGATTAATATTTTGCAAATGAAGTATTTACTGTATGATTCTCAGATTTCACCAAGAGATTTTGTGCTGAAATACATTTGGTTGTCCCCACTTGTGTTCTCATTCAATACAGTATCTCTGGAGATTCTGTTTGTCTGAGGGAAACACCTTACAGCAACCACATCCGTGTAAGGTTAGAAGAATAGTTTCTCCCTCTTAACCTAAGTTACTACTTTTAGTCTTGCCGTTCCCCGATCTACCTGCTTGGTATGGTAAGTCATAAAGGGTTGTTTCGTGCAATATATGTCGAATAGATCATTACGATATGTAAACCCCTACCACGGTGTCAAGATAGCAACTATGGTTTGGTTCAGACTAATTATTATCAAATTCAATTCGTCAATTATTAGTGTTACTCCTTTACTGAATGCAGGAAATTATGTACTAAGCTTTGAGCAAACTGTTTGTATGAGGGCTGGTAATATTACCCAGCAACCCAAACCAGAGTAATGGAGGGCGGAGTTTGAACCTGTAACCTATTGGATGGAAGCAGAAAACTTGTACTACTAAACTGTTATTATCAGAATTTGTTTGTTTACAGGTTCACTAATTCTACTGAATGATCTGAAACCGAACATTTTAAGCAACGTTATATAAATATACATATTTATCATTCCAATTATTGTTATTTCCGTTTAAACAGATCCTCAAAATCCAAACAAATCACGATGTGTCGGTGATGTAGAATTTGAAACAGCTATAGAAAACGCGAAGTGGATTACACCAGTTCCAGGTGGTGTTGGTCCAGTTTCAATCGCTATGTTATTTCGTAATACTGTGAATAGTGCTAAATGGTCTGTAGGATTAAATAATTCCATATGTTCTTGTCCAAATTATTGTGAAAATGATATCCTATCTAAAGAGCTTGTCGATAGAAAAGTGTCTACATAAAAAAGATGATAGCTGTCTTAGTTAATTTAATCAATGGATATTGTTTTTTAGTTAAATATATTCTGTACTTATTCAATTATCTTGAACAGATTATAAACCATACATTTATTGTAAATTGTTTCTACTAACTTATATTCATTAGCCTTTTGCTAATCGTAATATAGGCGAAAGAGATATTAAACTTTATGTTACTTATTTGTATACTCAATTATTATTACTTTTAAGTGAGTATTTTAACTTCGTGCAATTAGCATCTTGTGATGTATAATGTAAAATAACCCAACTACATAATAAAACATACAGTTCTTGTTGTTCATATGAAATAAAAACATCATATTTTATGTATATCGGTTCAGTTTTCACTATGAATTATTTCTGTTAATATGTATCATATTTTCAGGTGTTGGCTGTGTGACTCTGACGTTCGAATTTGTGCAAAACTTAGTAGCCACAAGGAAATTAAAGAATAATTACAATTGGCCGATCAATCAATAGTGATCAATATCTTGTTTGTATAAGCGTTTAGTGTTGATCGAATTCTGTTGACCAGGTTACCGTATGAACATTAGTGTGACTTGACTATGGTGAGATGTTATGTGGTCGGATGTCGTGACCGAAATAGGTCAGTGGTAACATCTCAGAATGCAAATCTAGGGGATGCAGGTTAAAATCCCACAGGTAGCAGCAGTTCCCTAAAGATTGCAGGTACTTCGTAATAACGAGTGTCAAATGGCACGAAACCTGGTTCCAGAGTTTCCTGTTGACTACCTTCAACCACATAGCATCTCAGAATAATATCAGGAATAATGACTCTTGAAAAGTAACCATTCATTCATTAGCGAACGAATATGATGTTTTTTATTCATTGTGAGGGTCTTTATTACTCTTAAATATTAAAGACTAAACCCAACTGGGCAATTTCAAGGGTTTTTGTGAATGTGCAGTTTTAAATCCAGACCTGAATTTATAAACATTTGTAACCAATGAAAAATTTCGTATCCCTCGGTTAAGTTGGTGGCCATCATGACATTGACGTTGAAACAGATAAGTACTGGGTATAGAACAGTATCGAAAACATAGTAACAAATGAAAAGTGGGAATAAGACAATACATATTTCTTGATACTGGCTGAAAGCAATCAGGTAGATCAAATGATACAGTAAAATAATTTACTCGCAGTCAGATCTGAATATATATATTTCACTTTTGTAAAATAAAATCGGGTTTAAAATTGAACTTCATCGGTGATTCACGTATCTGAAATCGACTTAACAAAGTCCGTTAACTTGGTGCGATTGGACCTTGCAGATTGTTTTGAATGAATAGTCAAATTAAGAAGTTGACATTTTTATGGCTAATCAAGCTATGGTGTTTCAGAACCTGTTTGCTCGAGTTGGCTATTAACTCAGTTGACTAGAATGGTTCAACACAAGAATGTAGACTGATAAACGGACATAAGTGTCTGAGACTAGTATCTTACTATTTATGCACACAAATTAATTTAAGGACGTAATCTTCATGCAGTATGTTCCTGGATATTTCACTAGATGTTTTGTTAAATATTTTATTGGTATTATCACCAATAAATCTCACTGTCACTTATAAAGCATGTTCATGATTCGTGGTGGTTCATTCCCTAATTTAAAACATCTACCGATGGAGAATAACTGGTCGTGTAATTTAGTTAAACTACGAAATAAAGTAAAGGTTCCCATTCTATTTTGTCACATGCTATTAAGCTGTCGTAAGTTACGTAAATGTTGCACTCCTAGTACGAAAACCGTTGTTGAACTTTTAGAGAAAATCTTACTATCTAATTGCGTTTAGAATTTTCACCATTCTTCTTGTGTGATGTATGGTATGAATCCTAGTAGTTCAACAATGTCACTACATACATTCTATTTAATGGATGGGCTGCGAGCAATAGAAGTATTAAGACTCGTCAATTTCTGTGACTGTTGAGTCACAATATTAGTTTGGTAAAATAATCGAAAAGTGTGTCACACTATATAGTCAAGCACGTATTAAATGCTACTAACAAAAATTTATCCTTTAAATAAAACAGAGATCACAGGAAATAATCAAACTTGATGTGCATCACAAAGCAATGAAAAGTAGTCGTCAACGCGTGAACTAACTAACTAATAATCCTCGGTTTAACACCTACACCGATAATTCCTCAATCTACATTTTTCGGATTGTTTTAAGACATTATTTGAAAAATAATAATTTAGGTCATTCAAGTTTACACTAAAAATATTTATATAGGTCACGTGGCATACTTACAGAATTGTTTTTTTTCCCATCTAACGTTTGGAAGCATTTTTCGAAAATTGATATCCCTTTTACTCAGTAACGGTATGTTTAGCCAATACTTTAGTCGAAACTTAATTCAAATGACAATTTTTGTGTAACTGTGGTACATACATTTTAAGTGGCTCAAGTAATAGTTTGCACTTGTTGAAAGGATACAGTCAACGTGACGGAAGTGTCGTCCATATATTTGTTAAATTAATTAATAACCGAACCGAGTTGGGTGTTTCCAATGTCTCCCATCCCTCCTTAGACTTTACGTTAGAAGACGATAGTTGCACCAGTCAGCAACAACGTGGGACCAGGCACATATATTCATCGTTCCAAATTACCATAACTCATTAGCACAAGATGAACACCGACTTCATAGAAGTAGTTAATACAATGGTGGTAATATACAAAAGAAAGATTGCATATAAGGATATGTAATTTTAATCTCACGATTTAAGGGAACACGAAGAGTGCACACACCACCATTGTGATCAATTCTGAGCCATGTCACCAGTAAGTAAACACTAAAATCTATAACAGACTGGCGCTGGCCGTATTCACAAGCCCCCATTGAAACATTGCTGAAGTTGACTGAGGCTTCTTAGATCTTTGGGCTCATAAGAAGTGTTTATTTTAGATACTTTAATTCTTGAGACACCTCTATAGTTGGAAATCCCACATATGTTATATAAGGATGCAAGCCAGGTGGTCTTAGAAAATGCTCCCGGAACCGATTAATATTTGTTGCTGCGCGCTTCATAAAGCATTCCAATTAGTTTACAATACCGAGAACAGCTATGTGTTTTCCAAGTCTGGTCTGCGTTAAACATTCATTCCCTGATTTTGCTGTAATTGTATGGGAATGAACAACATATATTCTTCACTGATTGAAATCATTAGTCAATTGAAGCTAGACCACCATGGGGAACCTGGAAGTACTGGACGGCCGTTCCATCCTAGTACGGGACTCCTCAGCAGTGCGCATCCACGACCCCGCGAGACTCGAACCCAGCACCTTTCAGTCTCTCGCCAGGCGCTTAACCAATCAGACCACTGAGCCGGCATCCAACGATATTAATGTCTAACTTCAACCAACCCACGAAGTTGCGCCATTGTTTCCAGTGAGTTGATATCTCACAGCAGACCTGGTTGAACTCCACTGGTAACGGCTTCCCACTAGAACTCCAGGAGTATCTCTTGAAGCCAGTCACTAGTGAGCAGACTATGGTGGTCTAGCTTCAATTGACTCATCATTTCAATCAGTGAAATTTCTAAAATCACAAAACCCCTTCTGATATATATTTTTGTCACCGATAGTATTAGCGTTACATAGTCAGGTAACTGTTCAGCTAAATGAGGATTTCCTTTCTGTAATGAATAACCACATATAGTAATTAAAAAATTAAAATACGTATTGCTTAGTATTGTGCGCTATTTAAATTACAGGTTGATATCATTCATGAAACCTAGTGAAGCGATATAAATTTAGTGGAAGGTATTTGAATTTCATCGATTGACGAAATTGTAAAACTTTCAAGAGTATTACTATTATTAACATTACAAACTTCAACATAGAACAGATTTTCACTACAAATTGATGGATAACCATTAAAAACCAAGGGGTGCAAAATAACTGATCTCTCGTAGTTCTGGAACCCTGAACACTACACACTGTAAACATCATACATGGTTGGTTGAGAATTTTAAAGTCATGATAACTCACGGAGTCTGTCTAATTTCTATCAATGCGCAGTATTGCATGACGATTTGGTGTCATCGAAGATAGCTATATCGCCTACCGATTTAGATAAACTTCTGATCACAGGTTTTCACTCCAACTTCAAGGATCAATCTCTAAGCTAATTACAAATGAACGATTCCTCCAAAATCCCCTCATAATAATTCACTGTATCTCGTACATTAAAATGAGTCTGAAATAAGTAACTCATAGAATGATACAAATATTGAAAGCCGATTAAAATGATAGTACATCGTTGTTTTAAAAATGTATATCTATAAGTCAAAAGATTATATAATTCTTGAACGAAGAAAACTCTGTAATATTATTACCATGAACATTTTCGAAATGCGCAAATACCTACGCCAACAAAATTGAATATGTGACCAAGATAGAGTTCTTTCCCTTTTTATCTTTTATGTGTTCTGTTTTGAAGAAAAAACATCGCTAACATTTAAAGTAGTTTGAACTTTAACAAATAAACTGACCAAATTATCTAGATACTTTCATACTGCTCTGTAACTATAACATACATAAGACAATTAATGTAATGATAGAATGTGGAAAAAAATACGAGTAAACTACACAAACGAAAGAAAGAAATAAGTTTCCTAGAACAATAATATTAATGATAACTGACAATAATAATGAAAATGATAGTAAAATATAATCACATGAGTCATTGAATATCTGCAATAATCATATTTCGATTGAGTTCGAGGGCAATTGTTTAATGAATAGATGAGTAAGTGAAGAAACAAATGATATTAGGCGTATAGAATAAACTGATAATTATATGTCTTATGTTGAGGTTGGAAGTGGATTTCCTTCAATCTGTTATTGAATAGTTTCTGATAAGGCCGCCCTTTTCAAAGCTGCTTCAACAGCTTTCCGTCGAGCGATAATTGACTGAAAGAGGGAAAAAAATGAATATTATTCGTCACTGCCCTAATGTTCGTTTTGGTTTGTCATTAAACAATGTGATTTGTTGACTATTCATATATTTGAGTATCATTTTGTTATATACACTTTCGCACAATTGAATCATTTAATTAATTTGACTTTGATGGAGTTTTGTTCTCTGAGTTGGATGGTTTGGTCGTCGAGCTTTCATCGCTCTTCTGAACGACATCATCGGCACAAACTTCAGATAGAAATTCGAACGCTTCACTTCTATCTAAAGTTTGTGCTGATGATGTCGTTCAGAAGAGCGATGAAAGCTCCACAACGAAACCATCCAGTTCAGAGAACAAAACTCCACTAAAATCACCCACCTGAGCTACAAATCTTCTCCACCATCTCAAAATTAATATGACTGCTGTACTGGTGATATTCAAATCAAGATCATTTTAAGTCAATAATATAAACTCACCTTATGTGTTTTATAGACTGTTAGAAACAGAACTTTAAATTCATTTCAAATCGATAAACAGAATTATTAACTCAGGATAGTAATGCTGAAAATGTAACCCTTTTATATTGCCAAGACTTAGTCTCGAATACTCTGTCGTTCATTCTGTGCGACTCAATCAGTATAGTCTTAGAAAAGAGGTGAGTAACTGAAATTTATTTTCAGTTATTATTTAGTGTTAATATCATTTTCGTCATTGCTTATATCAACAGCATTAGTTACTAAAATATTACCCATTTAGATGAATCATTCACCAAAAATTTTCAAATGTCACTTTTTTAGGTTGACAATTATGAAGTTAGTTTCAGTTACAAAGAAATAGTAACGACGGAAGCAATCAACATAGAAGATGAAATAAGATTTAGATCATACGTTTTACAAACTGATCAAACACGTATTTAGACCAGAAATCCTGTCTCTAATACTCCTAGAGAGTAATGGGAGACAACATAATAATATCACCAAGTACTGTATTTGTTTGTCAAACAATCATATTTATCTGATTCTCATTGCTTAAAACTGTAGAAGCGTAATGATCTATCCACCAATCACTAATTATACGACATTAAGAATGATGTTAACAAATTACATATTTTAAATACTTGGTCAGTCGGTTGTTTTAAATGAATTAGAGTAATATTTAAGCAAAAATCTAATATGTGTGTAGAATTTCGAAAACCCATAAATTAACTAACTTTACCGAGAAATATTGCACATTAATAAATTATATGCTTGTTTTATTCCTGACACAGATATATTGAATGTCCATGATCGTACATGGAATGGTCCACTCATTTTTTATGTGTTATTGAAAAAAGTATAATTTTCTTAGGTAGCGAACGCTAGTTATCAGTTCTTTACAAAACAAATGTCAATACAGAGCGTTTCACACTTAGTAACTCTTAAATATGCACATTCCTCTAGCCACATGTAACTAGTCTAAAAGATTAACATAGTGTAAGCCAATTTAATCTCATTGCATTGTATTCGGATACCTAACAAAATATCTTATAATAAAGATTGTTTGTCAAGTAATATAGTTTCTCTAGAAGAATTGAACAACAGAGAATAGTGGGTGGTCAAAAAGTAGGTATTATACTTTCAATCACAAATTCAGGTTTGTCAGATTTATCAGTTATATTTAAACAGCACAGTAGAATCTAATACTAAACGAAACTAATAGATTGATTGTTGGCGTATGACAAACCCAACCTGGATTTCAATACCACCTGAATAATATACTTCATTTAAGAGTTGTTTGTATTTAACCGATCAATTAGTAAATCATGTCAGCTGAGATCAGTTACCGCGAGTTACAATGAACTTGGATTACTTTTAAGACGGCTTAGATTATTGTCTTTGTAAAAAAAAAACCAGGACCAACCTCGTTAACTTTATTTTGAGACACTGTATTTTCACGAGTACTGGGTTTAATATTAGTTAGATGCTTAAGATCATCTTCATCGTGGTTTTCATTATTAAGTTCTGATGAACAACCTTGCTGATTGGAACCAGGTTGCAAAACGGAACGTTGATTTCGTTGATTAACTGGAGCATTTGTAGTGCGATTAGTAGAAATGGTAGACGTAGCATAAGTTGAAGCAGCTGAAGGTTTAGGTCGACTGCGAGTAATACGATTATTCTGTGTATCGGAAGCAGTCCCAACAACAGAATTCTGATTGGTTATCTGATTTCTATTGGTTGTTTGCGAACCTTGTCTGGAATTCGATGGACGATGCTAATAATTATTTCAATGTAAATAAGAAATGCCACTTTGAAAGAATAATAATTATTAACAAGTGAAATCCTAAGAAAGCGTTTAATAATGAAAACATTTCTTTAAGAGAAAATGTAGGAAAGTGTAAGTCATACATGATTTTATTCAGAGGATATATAAAATTTACTAATCGTGGAAGAGGATATTATGAACATTTAGCTTACATTTTGGTTTTTTTACTGGAGCACAATTTTAAAGTAGGAAATGTAACATGAAAGTAAAGTACCATAAAAATGTTATATTTATATACACTATTTTTTGAAGTGAAAAACTTGGTTGAAATACAGTCATGAGTAGTTTCGACGTGTATATTATCTACTCACCAGTTATTGAAGATTAAAAAGTAGGAAATCACTAAAAACAAAGAATTATAGATTGTTTATGGTAAACAGAATCAATGCTATAACTACCATAATGTAGTTACAATTAAACCTAGTCTTATATGCTGATCCCTAAGATACAAACAAATTCCTATTCGTAGTTTTAGAAAACTCTTCATGGTTGAGAGATTCTAGGATAATATGGTGATCTTACTATGCAAACTGAATGTCATTCAGATTTTGGAATGGAACTAAAAGTATGTTACGGAATCATAGGAGTAATCATTCTTTATTACTAACTGGTAACTCGATATTTCACTTTGAATGGTTAATCGAAATGAAAGATTTAGGCGAATATATGGTTATTTAAACTAGTAGTCTGGCGACGAATGGGTTAAACGATAACGCAGTATCAAGTGTCCATCAGGCATAGAATAATTTCACTCTGCTAAAGCTTAAAAATATAGTGCATTCAAATTAGATTTCTTCTACTGTTTTCAAGGGTGAATGAGTACAAAATTAAATTACTTTTAAACGATTGCTAAATAGGTGATACTCTAAAAAAAACGATAGCAATATATTTACAAAAATCTCTTACTCACGAAACTATCACAGTCTCATCATTAGGTACGATAATCTAACAGAAATGTCAATTAAATTCATTCCTTTTATCAGGCTGAGAAATGTATATATTGATGTACATGATAAATCAAGATTATCTAAAATTATGACTTCATTTGGCAATGTTCGTTGAGTAGGTGATATCCATAAATTTATTTATTTATTAAGAACTTACCACATAGGATGAATAATCTGATTCAGTACTGTAAATGGACATACATTTATTAAATCTGTCCATACCTTCAAGGTTCGATTTTGAGTAGTTGTCGTCATACTGAGAAACATGATGTTAAGTGATCTTTGAGTCTTCTTACGAAAGATCAGTCACGCTTGATAGTAACAACTCAGATCAAATAAAACATGTTTCAATGTTGGGTGTCATTTGTTTACTACTTTGTATTCAATGCACCGAATAGTTTCTATGACGGTTTACGATTAAGTCGGATTGCATAGAATCCACTTTCATATTCAGTAGTGTAGCAAATACAAAACCGAAGGAAATCATTGTTCATCCATATAATACAAGCGAAACTCTATTGATTGTAAATTTAAATGAAAATTAAAAAAATCTTGTGTATAAAGAGGATCGTGTACCTGTTCTTGAACATTTGAAGTTGATGCACCTGGACGTGAACGAACAGCTCGTATGGGCGTCGGTTTCGAAGTTGTCCCACTATTTGATTGAGCTCTCTGTCGCTGACGGTTGCGTTCTAACCGAGCAAGTCCAGCACGAACACCAGCACGACATTTCGGACAAGTTGTTGACTGTTTTAGCCAGGCATCAATACATTTCATGTGGAATGCATGTCCACAAGGAAGATGGCGGAGGCGATCTTTATCTTGATATTCAACTAAAAATAAGTGATGCAATTATTTTACTCTGAATCAGTGTAGAACTCTCAACCGGTTCAATAATCTATAACATTCTAATTTATAATTATTAACCGTCCATTGTCCAAATGACAAAATGTTTAGTAAATCTTGTAATTTGCTCAAAATTGAGATGAATAACAAGTTACAGAGCTCAAATAATAAATTTGGTATCAAATCCCAAAGCATTTCTTGCAATAGTTTACTTGGGGATTAAACGGATTTAGTTTGTTCTTCCTTGGAATTTTGAATAACGTGGGATATCACAAAATATCACAAAATCAGTTGGACCCAAAAATTATTTTCATTATTCTCTTCTTCTCTAACCCTATAATTATTATTCAGCTCCTTTTGATAATTGAAATCTCAAATCACTTTATGACGCACTCTTTTCGATAGACTTACATATTTACCAAGCAACTATAAGTACGAATGTACAACTTAAGTAAATGATTTCGTCCAAATGGAAACTTTCTTCACAAAATTTATTTTTATTCACTAGGAATAATATCAGTACTTTTTAATTCAATGAAAATCCCTCTCTAAACTGTACATTGGTTTAAATCATTTGGGCAGATATAAAAACAGCTTTGTGTTCCTTATAATCATGTGAATCTATAGAATTTCTATTCAGGTAAATAGATTTGAGACCTTCATACATAGGTATACGTATGTTTAAAGTACTAAGAAAACTTTTCAGGAACATGTTTAACCATTTACAATAAATCCGAACGTTTGAATACTGATAAAACAGAGGAAAATAATGACAAGTTTTTATTATTCAAAATGACCTAATGATTGACCTATGTTTTATATTAGAACAAACCTAACAACTAATGAAGTCTTTTCCATCATTGCTTGTTAATTTCACAAATTTTAAACGTTATGTCATAATGGTATATGATTGTGGAAGTTGTCGAATTTTATTGAAATGGAGGACCAACAAACATAGGCAACCACAACGCCTCCACTGAAGAATCGAACCCAGAAGCACCAGTCCTAACTTAACGATCTAGAATTTAGGGATTGATGCATGAAAACGAAGATCATGGGTTCGATCTCTGGTCACAGAATCGGTGCTTCATGCTGATGAGGAGTCCCGAAATAGGACGAAACTATCATCTAGTACTTCCAGGATTTCAACGGTTGTCTAACCGAGATCGATTCGTGATTTCAATCACATGTCATTATCTCATACAATTAGTTCCCTTTATGGATTTAAATAAACCCAGAACAGATATTGATGCAGAATAATATGAATTCATCATCATTCCCATCAGCTGCTTACAACCAAATATGTATTAGAATTTTACATTGAGATAAGAAATAGTGTGGAACAATTGACATAAGTGAATGTAAAGGATTGGAATGACAAAGGTTATATATATATATATATATGCAAGAACAGGTCAGAGGTTATATGATGTTAGAATTTTGTGATAATTCTTACATAAGATCCACTGAATTAAAAACTGATAAGATGGGTTACGTAATAATTAAGTAGAATTTGAAGAGTTCACATAATTTAAGAGAATCAAATGAGTGGAAATGCATGAGTGAAGGGGTGGTTTAAGAATTCAGTAATGGGAGAAGAATATAACACAAACTAAACATTAACAAAATAAAACTGATGACCAAAAAATATGGATTACCAGGGAACTAATAAGTTTGTTAATGTCTCTTTTTGAATACATAGATCAGGTTTGAGTTTTTTTTATCGCGAACGCTCCGGCAAAACGGGGAGAAGCCGTATTTCTTTGTCTGCAAATAATTTTAAAAGCATGAGGAATGTCAATGGTATACGCGGTGTCAAGTAAACGCCGAGCTGTTGAGAGCCCTAGTCCCTCGCAGGCTCGATTTCTTGGGAACATGCTCAGAAATGCGAGCATGTACTCTTCTCTCTGTCCTTCCAATGTATGTTCTCTCTCTCTCTCTCTCTCTCTCTCTATATATATATATATATATATATATATATATATATATATATATATATATATTTGTAATCGTTGAATGCATGGTAAGTATGCAACTCTTTAGATTCAGGTTCTTGTACCGTTTTCAATGCCTCCACTAATATTCTTTCCATAAATCGTATCACCTCCATAAACCTAACCAACTTTCACTAACCTATTAAATTTCTGAATTCATCTTACTGTCTTTCATTAGTTTGATAGAATATACGTAATTAATTATCTAAAAATCCCAGAAGCTATTAAACAACAGTAAGGGTAACAATGGTGACAGAAAATCAATATCTTCATGTGCAACAGTCTTCGATGGAAGACTAATATTAAAGAATTACGTGAAAATCTTACACTATTTTGATTAGAAGTGATTTACTTCACTGTTTTCCCAAATACTTAAGGTATAGTTTAATGAATTAAATATTAATCTAGTCACTTACAATCAGCTCATAGTTTAAATAGTTGAAATGAAGATTGTATCACACTATGTAAGTTACGTAACCAAAAAGATTCTTACATTTTTGTGAAACCAACGAACTGAATTGTGATGTATGGATTAGCTAACATAATTAAATATCACTTAAATAAGAATATATTTTACAAAAAATCAAATGTATCATCGGTATAAAAGAGTGAATAGTATTCAACCATATAACGGACAAAAATATCACTCAGCTAACATGATAAACTGCCGGTTTTATTGATAGGGTCATGACCCTGAATAAGTCACAAAACGAAGGGAAAATAGTTCATCTAAGTGTAAATAATCCTGTTGTATTTTAATTTGAATATAAATAATGTAACTTTTACAAATAACTTGGTATGGGGGTTTGTGGAAATTGTAGTAAGTTTAATAGTTCAATTCATAAGTTGATCTAAGCTAGACCATCGTTGGAGATCCGGAAGCACTGGGGTATATGAAACTCCTCAGCAGTGCGCATCCATGGTCTCTCATGCGAGACTCGCACACAGGACCTTCGGTCTGGCGCGTGAACGCTTAACTTCTAGACCACTGAGCCGGGATCCAACAGTACTAATGTCTAATTCCATTTTAGTAAATTATCTGTTTAGAAGAAAATCAAAGATCCATGAGGAATGTAGCTTAGAGTATGATAAAACATCCACAATGTCTCAGTGCATGATACATAACTTCCTATATCATTTTAGGTTCCCGAAACGGATCAGTTTGGTTCTAGAGCAGTTTAATTAAAGATAATCTCGCTTTTTTTTCAGAGTATTTAAAACTGGCAATTAGAATATGAATGTTATCTGTCAAGTTATTTAGAACTTATATCACAGTAGTTTGTTAAATTAAAATGTATTAGCCTTAAGCAATCACAGGTATGTATATATACAGGTCAGTTTTAAAACATGGTTAATAATGCTTGGTAAGCAGTGAAATAAGTTGAAGTTGTTTACTGAGTAGAAATCATTGGGTAAGCCTATATCAACCAGCATGATTAGTTAAAAATGTTTAGAACATAATTAAGTAATTTATCTACAAAATTCATGTCTGTGATTACTTTATTATTTCCCTGTACTATAATGACCATAATTTGAAATGAACTATTGTAATCGAATTGTAAGATTGACAGAAATCATCTAAAATCTATTACTTAAAATTGTTCATATGTGTACTTTGTGTACAGTAATAATATAGGGGAGAAAAATAAGAAGTTCCAAATGAATAGCTCACATTCTCATCATAAATGTACTATTTATCTGAAAAAAATTATCATGAAATATGAAATAATAACCACTGAAGCCTAGGGTAAATACCACTAAGCCAGTGTACATGCAGTCCGGCACGAAGCCAGGTGAATGCATTATTATATATTTTTGGTTCATGATAATGATCCTTCCGCAGGTTCACCTACGGAAACCTTGTTATGACTTTTACTTCCTCTAAATAGTCAAATTAGGTCATCTTCTCAACATCAGTCGAGCGGCAAAACCACTACAACGACACTAATAGAACGACCTCACTAAACCATTCGATCGGTAGTAGCAACGGGCGGTGTGCACAAAGAGCAGGGACGTAATCAGAGCAAGCTTATGACTTGCACTTACCAGGAATTCCCGGTTCGCGGGGAATAATTCCAAGTCATGATGGTGATGAAACAGTTTGCCCAACCCTTCCGGGCTAGGTTTCCAGACTCGCTGGCACCGTCATCGGATATTGGACAAATCCACATAACTGGTGATAGCCTTAATCTACCAATGTGTATAAATTATTTTACAGGTATTATATATAAATCAAGACTTCTGTAAACTGAGGAATGTGAATGTAGAACTAGATAGAAGTCAACAATATGATGGTTGGTTTTTATAGTTTGATAATAGAATGGTCATAGAGTAAGTACAAACGAACATGATTTCCAAATTAATCCCATTCCTATGGCTCCGGATGGTGTATGAATATTGATTTTATGTCACATGAGATTTCTACCAATGCTCCTCCAAAATAAGACATTAATACAAAACGTTTAGTTAAATCTTCAATGCCACAACACTCCAGAATTTAATACAAGGTTGAAATTCCATGGTATATGGTCCTATCGAACCAAATAAGTAGTATTGTTAAATCAAGAAGGATTTCACTAACATAAGTCACATATTCATAAATATTTAAATAGAACTACTAGTAAGATTTTATGAAATACCTCACTCAGCCTAAAACATTAAAATAAAATAAGAACATACAAAATAATATATTGATTTTAATAGTCATGGTTGATGACCAGGTAGGGAAATCAGCAAAAAAGAAGACCATTATGACATCTTACTTTTCTTATGGTTACTAACATGATGATTATTCTCTATTGTAGCTCAAAACGAAGATGATTCATTTCAAACTTAAAACACCTCAGTATTGAAAGAAAAGTGAAGTTATGTTAAATTAGAAAAAGAAATAACAAATACCATAACTGAATAAGGCTTTTTCCGTCCTGCATATAAGTATAAAACTAATAACATAATTTACTTCCAACTCACTTAAACATATTTCACATTCAGGATGACCACGTGCTGGAGATGATTGTATTGGTTGAATTTGGACAAGAGTTGTTTTTGATTCTGGTTCAAGATAGTGTGTACCACCAGATGGTGTCATATTACTTTGATTTTCATTAAGAACAGGTACAATATTAGGAGCATTTGATGAGTTTGTAGTCGCATTAGGTGATGTAAATGTGTCTTCGCTTGTTGATGAGGTCTTTTTAATTCTATAAATACTCGTAGGAAGTTTTTTCAGTTCATCAGCATTCATAAATCCTAATACTTTAGGACGGGCAGGTGGCTCAGGCAAGAATGACCTACGAGTATTCGAGTCATACCATTGCAGTCTGGTTCTTTCAAATGTCACAGGATCATTATTTCTATGCCTAAATTTAAAAAGATAATGAGCTATTAGGGATAACTTTAGTAAATGGTATTTGATCTATGTTTCAAATACTCACTTAGTAGATAATTGTTTGAAACATAGATTAGTGAGGATAACCTATGATCTGAGCCAACTCAATCGTATAATATCACTGCTCTTCACATTTGAAAAAACATTACCAACGATTAAAAAAACCGAAGCCAACAGAAATAAGAATATGAAGATTTGTATGAAGCTAAGAGAAACACGCCGTAGTGCAAAATGAACAGTATTAAAAGAAAAAAAAAGATGAATACATCTACGCTAGTGTAGCCAATTATAATCTACATATTTTAACATATTCAACCAACGATTTTAGGTATCATATAAATTGTCATTCAGAAGTATACCATTTCCTAATTATTTTAGGTTGAAAGTCGCACAGTTGATAAATTAGTATTATATTTCGATCCGACCATTTCCATCTCTTTCTGTACTAGCTAACAAAGCACGAGGAATTTAATTGTGGCTTAGGAATTGTTGCGAAATTCCTAGGTAAGTTGATGAAAGTACATAACATAGTCGACTAATCCTTATTTATTAAATGATCAACGATATTATGTTCTCAGCAAATAATTAGTTCCATTGCCCGTCATTTTTTTCGACAATTGGAAATCTAGCCATTTTCAACAGGCGAATATGTCTAATGATTACCACTTGTGTAGAATATGAGAATCATCTTATTCAAGAAACATTATCTGACAGTGAATATTGTATTTATGAAAATGACTGAACGGGATTTATAGATTAAGCGTGGTACTTTAAGAAATATGAAATTAATAAAACGAATGACTTTTGATGAACTAACAGATGAGTATTCTTACTGTTATTGGTCTGAAAAACCTAAATGTTTCAGTTATAATTAAACGTTCAAGAAATACTTTTTTATTAAAATGAATCAATTTTATCACTGAATTGATATCAAAATAATTTTAGATTTATCAGCATGTGTATTTATGTAGATTGTAGTATTTTGACAGTTAAATCCACGAGTAGATCTAAGCTAGACTACCATTGAAAACCTGGGAGTACTGGATGGCCGTTTCGTAACAGTATAGCACTCCTCAGCAGTGTGCATCCATGCCCTCCATGTACGGAACTCGAACCCACGACCTTAAGTGTCGCACACAATAAATTTTAGTAATCTTAATAGCTTATAAAGAAAAGCAACAAATATACTCTTTATTCAATTAGACTGATTATAATTTCATGTATATCATCAGTGGAAATATTTAAGTCGGAATTTGAAAAAAAGTCGGATAAATTAACTTGTTAAATATGAAGAAATAAATTTAGCATTAAAACAACAGTACAGTTTTCATATGTAATATGAATATCGATATTAAGCAAGAAGTGGTCAAATTTTGATGAACATAAACTAAACTTGACTATAATTTGTTTTACAAAAATAAGGAAATGATGTACATTTACAGTAAATGCCATATTTAGATGGAGTTTTACCAATGATTATCGATTACCTATTCGAGAATAAACTCAAACATAATTTAGTACTTTTATGGTATCCTGATGAGTACTATTTTTGCTTTTAGTCATTATAAGCCCAAACCAATTTATAAAACCGTTAATATTTACCGAAGAATGTAAAATTTACATCAAGGAGATTTTTTTTATTATGTCAGAAAGTAAGTGATGATCAGTCTAAATTTTCACAGTAGCCTATGTAAAATTCATTCATTTTATAAAGAAGGCTATCTACAATCAGTCGATGAATCGAGATAATTTTTATTGCATCTTAATAGTTATGTCATATTTATATGACTTTTGATGACTTCAATTAAGAAGAATAACAAAAGTAAATCTGAATTAATTGTAAATTACAAATTAATCAATGTGAAATGACCTTCATAGTTTGTCCGAGAAACTTGTTGCTTAGGTACCGTTTCTTACAGTTAATATTCAAGTGAAATTCGACTGATTTTTATTTCTTATATTGATATTTCATATGCATTTGTTTAGCCGCCTATTGAAGCACGTATGAAGGTGAGAAATATAAATTTTCTAGATTTCTTTAAAACGAATGAAAAATTACTTTAAAGAAACTTTCATAGTGTCTTTTACGAAATCATAATGTATTCTTTCATTTTATATCATCTAGGAAATGTTTGCCGGTTGATAAACTTCTTCAATATGTTTAATTGATAGAGATAATTAACATACGTACCCAATTCAATGAATACTAGATTTTCATATATCAACGATATTTATCACAAATAACTTTTAGTCAACTGTATGCATGCAACTTTACTGAAATGAATTTACTAGTACGAAATAATTCTCAATGATTGGTCGACACAAATGAGGGTACTCATATTTAACACAATTCCTTTTTAGAGTTTAAGGGCTACTGATGTTAATCAGAAGACTACACCAAAGTAGTCTGGAACACAGTTCGAACCTTTCCCTTCCAAAAATTGTGTTATAACCATTAGTACAATGTTTCTTACTAAATCATACTAGTGAAATCAAAGGTTCGGATTAGATGAAGTATTTCTTTTTAAGACGAATGCTTTATTTATCTTTTGTGTCAGTTTATAAGTTATTTGATAAACTTGCCAATTCATTTGGTGTATGAAGGTTTACAATATAACCAAACTTCAGAAATCATTCAAGGTCGAATTCATTTCTAAATATTTTTTATATACAAATTTATGATGAATGAAAACTATATGTAAATGAACTCAGAATCAACATAGAATTAAGGTTCTTATTTTGACGAGACGAATCTCCTCTATATATATGCATAAGGAAATGACAGTCAGCTTTCTCACATATACGTCGAGTTATCAGGAGACCACTATAAGAAATTACTCAAAGTGGACATTTTAGAACACAATATTTACTCATAATTCTATTAGAGGATATAAAAATCATTCATGGAAACTATATGTACTGATAAGATAACTGGTGGGTTATTGTCAGTAAGAATATTTAAAAAAATGATTATTTCATATCTTAATTTACAAATTGATTGATCTATAAAACATTATAGGCTAAATAATGTTTGTAAATTCAGTCAGTCAGTAACAATGTAGAACTTCCAACGTACGTACATCAGTTTGAGTTGCCATACCACATTAGCACAGAGATGCAGTTGTCGATTCAGATCTCATAGTAGTAGAGATAGTAAAAGTATAAGCAGTAATCGGAAACATTAGGGTCTGAAGATGTTATTCAAGGCGTATAATCCAGTGAAATAAATTCGGAAAGAGAAAAAAGAGACATGAAGAATTCATAAGATTAGAATTTGGGAAAACACAAAAAGTGGATGCACCTACACCATTGTAAACGATTTTGAGCCATGTCATTCAAAATCTCTAACCATCGGTTCAGTTTAACAAGACAATAAATAACTTGTATAAGTCATTAATGAGTTGAATCAGACATTTTACTCATATTGTCTCTATTATGTAATAACTTTGAAAAAAAAAAAGACACACACATTGATATCAGAATTTGCATGACACTATGGTGAGCATAATTTACATAAGAAAATGAATTCATTTGATTTTATTAATCTCTATCATATCATATAGCTTTCTTCTAAATTAAAAGTTGAAAGAAAAAGAGAAACTGAAGGAAGATACCGACTATCTGCTAATAGGTGATAAGAAAAAATCTCTAAGATTTTCTATATGTAGTTAACAAACAGATTATCAGTTAACTATGCTACTGACAAATTTTGTGAAATAAGTTCGAGTACAAAAAGTAAGTGAATAGAATGGAAAAAAATGTAAAATCTACTTGACATTTAACTTAAGTAGAGTTACATAGATAAGTTTAGATTTCATACAGTTTTTTTTCCTCAAGCGAAAATCAGATTTAACTCAAAGTAAAAAACAATGTTTGTTTTAATCAACTATTGATTATGGTAAGAAAAAGTAACAATTCTATACCAAAACACATACTGTTTGGATGAAATAAATTTGAGACAAAGCTTGTGTTGATGATATTATCTAGGAAGATAATGAAACTTTCGAGATCATACCACTTAGATAGAACTCAATCCCACCAAAATGATAAACTCTGCTTGTTGGAAATTTATGACATCTTTAACAAAACTCCTCCTTCTTTAAAAATAATTCTAGAGACTAAAATGAGTTGGCTAAACATCTTCATTTTACTTTTAGAAATAAAGTGATAGAATTAGCCATCGAGCTACTTGCCCTCCAGGACCTTCGCCGCTATGTCATGATAAATCAATATATGTCAGTCCTACGGAGCCATGTTGAACTTAATAATGCTATGTTATAAACCAATCACCTTTCTGCGGTTTCAGAGTCGAAGAATAATGCGATGTAGAAGCTATTGGAATGAAACTCGTTAAACATGCTCAAGCCACCTGATCCCGTATTAACATTAGTTAAATTATTATTTTCATGCCCAAACACACTATCGAACCTCGACGTTAATCAAACGATTGGACAGTGGAGCAGTGAAAAAAGATTTAAATTATAAAAGGTATTTACAGTTCTGACAAATACTAAGGTAACCTCAAACTTAATAAAAAAATAGGTTATGTTTAGATGTGCATAGAACAGGATGCATCTCTGTTGTGAACTCTGAAGTGTTATTTATACATCAGAATAAGTCAACTATGGTAGTTTAAGAAACAAGTTAATCACTAAGGTTCTAAATTCAAGCGTCATTTCAAACAATAAATCGCCTAACTAAAGAAATGAAAATTATTTCCTGACTGACTGGTTTACAAAAATAATAATCAGTAATGATGGATAATAACAATTAATTATTTAAAAGTCTCGTGATCCTTTCAGGAAAACGGACATAATAAAAATATGAAGCAATAAATGAAACACCACTGACAGTTTATGTAAAAGAAATACCTACGCACCAAAATTTTACGAGATAACACTAACCTGTGTACGCGTGAATTACCAACTACATCATTTGGATCGCTTAGCGTTACTCTTTGAGTACCTCGATCAGGTGGAATTATGGAAATATCTCTGAAGAGGATGAAACACGAATGACAAACGTTTAATAGTTAAAATACTGATTGAAATCACAAACTAGCTATCGATCTCTTAAATTGGGAAAAGTTGTTATCTGAACATGCGTAGACTACCATTAAAAACTATAAATGAGTGATGGAATTAAAAGTATTATGACTAGTCACTCTGAGCTAAAGAATGTGATATACCTGATGTCACTGAACCTAGAGAGTGAAAAATTTAGATTTGTTTCATTTCAGTATCTCTACACCTAAGTATTCGTGCTAAAATTACTAGAGGCCATATCAAATCATGTAAGAAAATATTTCCCTCCTCAGGGATGTATGACGAAACTGCTTAAGAATGATTTTTTGTAAAGAAGATGTAAATCAGTCCTTATAAATTTGTCGGGTTTTGTTTTCACCGAAAGTAATACAAGAATAACGCAAAAACGTAGACATGTTATTGATCTTCTTTATCCAAGACAAAATAAAGCATATTGTTCATAGAGAATTTATTTATTGATAATTACTCTTGTCAAATACATCGTCAACTTCAAACTATATTGAATGCGAATCAGCAGTGTTACCATATGAAGGTCGAGTAACACTGATTGATAATTGTAATCAACATTATTAATTGGTAAATATAAATGCATACAACATGTATTGGTGAGAAATGAAATAACTTTATACATAAAACCATCAGTTCCGATCTGTTTGATCCTTCCTTACACAGTTTTCGTTTTACTTTTCAATGCTCAGATATAATCTTTAGAGAGCCCAGGTTAGTCTGTTAACAAACCAGTGGGAAATATTACAACAAGCAGGTTAGCCCTTTGCATTCTCAATATGTTACGGGTATGAGGGCTGATGTCACTTCCCGGCTGCCCACACCGTGGAAGGGTATTTCTTGAGGAACCTGAAAAGGAAATTGGATTAGTGTTGGTCTTGACGACCTGTGAGCGTGACCGCAGAGCCCAAGGGACAACTGCTTGACGCCGGTCGCGCACGGCCTTTTCGTGGGAGGTTTTTAGTATGTTAGCTTCGTTCTTCAAAGGGCCTTACCGCCAGAGACGGAAATCCGTGAGGTAAGGTGAGGTGTGACATTTTTAGGGTCGACCTTTTCTAACCCGTTCCTTCTTTGTGAGAAGGCAGCATCGCTGCAGATGCTGGTTGTCCGAGGGAAACACCTTACTGCTGTCACACCTCTCTACAGTCAGCAGTACGACTTCGCCCTCAGACCTTGATTTGGTGATTTTAGTCTTACAGTTCTCCAATCGACCTGCCTGGCATGGTAAAACCTACAGGAACATATGTTCCAGCCAATATAGCTCGGTTGGGTCATCACGATAAGCAAGGCCGACCACCACGTCAAGGTAGCAGCTACGGTCGGGGCATTCTCAATCTAATAACTGATGAATAGTGTGACGTATAAATAAGCAAGATTTATAAAGGATTCCTTTTTAATTGAAGCTATTCTATGAACTATTTACAACAATCGCTTACAAAAAGTAAAGACGTGTACTAAAGGATTGGTTTACTTGGTTGGTATTGTTGGTATTTGATCGGTGTTAAAGTATTTTATGTGTGACATTTTCTACGATATTTATGTTATAAAATGATTGATAATCAAATCAATGTATGGGTCGGTCCTATGAACCATTTATATGCTCAAATCAGTTGATATCCCAAAATATTCCAACAAAAATAAAAAGGACTGTAGCAACTCACTTATATCACTTTGTGAAGATTAGCTTCTTGAATTGTGATGAATTGTGTTTAAAAACTGAAGCAAATTATTGTTTTAAAATTGAGAAAAATGTGGTATTTGTAGTAAGTGATGATTTCTTGGTACTTGATTGTGCGCTGATTACAAATTCCAAATACAATAAATTCATTTGTACTTGTCTAGTACTCACTTACTTACATCCGTTACTCCTCGTAGAGGAGCATAGGCCTCCAACCAGTATTCTCCAACGAACTCTGTCCTGAGCGATTCCTTCCAGTTCTTTCCAATGTTATTCATCCTTTTCATGTCCGCTTCCGATTCTCGGTGCAGTGTGTTCTTTGGTCTTCCTTTCTTATTTTTCCCTTCAGGATTCCAAGTTGGGGCTTGCCTTGTGATGTAGTTTGGTGATTTCCTCAATATATGTCCTATCCACTTTCAAAGTGCTCTTCTGATTTTTTCTTCACCTGGAAATTAGTTTGTTCTATCCCATAGTAGCTTGTTGCTGATGGCTTCCGGTCAGCGGACACAGTTTCTCCATAAAGTGTGACTAGGCTGGTTCTCTATGTGTTGATTTAGGGATCATACCTTTCCCCTTGTATCTGTCGAGGCCTACTGATGCAGTGGACCCTGCTACACTGGTTGTTCCCACCTGTGTTTGTTCATGTGTATGGGATAGAAGAGCTAAGTCATTTGAGTGTAAAAAATATATGTATTCAAAAATCCATTTTCGTATTCGACTGACTTAATTCCGTTATTCACCAACGCGATTTAAGTCGATGAAATATACCAAAATAGTCAGGATGTATATTTTGACAGCAATAATTCAATGACAATCACTCATGCGATCCGATTGAAGTCAGACACCGGGCCACAAAAGTAACTATGTAAATTGTTGCTCTGGTTGCTAAAAGGGGTGTCGGCCTCATGACTTCCGAACAATCTTAGAGGCGTTATAACTTCTGAATGAAGATCTTTCAACTCCTAGAGCAGAATTTAAATGGTTTAAATTGTTTATTCTGGTTAGGGTTGTTTCAGCAAGGTTATTTACTAAGGATTGGGGTTGCTGACCTCATCTCCAACCCTCCTCCTTTGCTTAGTCTTTGAACCGACAGTAACCCTTAAAGAGCTCATTTAGTACTACGTGCCTTAAACTGCACTACTCCGAGAATTCTTATCACATTACTTCAAATACTTCTAAGTACTACAGAAAACCTAAGTTTTAACCTTTTGATCGTATGGAATATTTTATTTAGCAAATTATGTACATGTTAAAAATAGTGTGAGAAAAACCATTGTTTTTTTCACAAGCCATTTCTGCTATGTTCACTTTATCAGTATCATTTCACTCAGGATCAAGATCGTATAACTATAGCAATTGAAAGTGATCTCACTGTAAAGTAAAATTTGCGAGTAAGATGTCAACAGATAGGCTAAGTTGAACAGAAATGCTCATGGAGGTGGCACATGAATATGAACAAGTCACAAAGATATCTTCAAAATTCTTTAGGATGAAGCAATTAATTTTGTTCACAATGGTAAAAATGAAAATAAAACGTGGTTATTCAGGGAAACATGAATAACTAGAACATACCACTTTTTAAGGGTTTTTTTTCTGTTTTATCGCACACAACTACAGAAAATAAATAGTTGACACTGGACATACAGATAAAGTGTCAACTTTCCTCATCTAAATTTCCAGAAGTTGAACTTCTACCGGAAGATTCACTTGTTGACTTGGAATATGCCGATGACATAGTTCTATTTGGCGAAGACGCTCACAAAATGCAGAGTCTTCTGACCATTTTAAGCAACAATGCAAGCATGTTCGGCATGCGATTGTCCCTCTCGAAATGCAAAATGTTGCTTCAGGATTGGGTTGCATCGACACCCGAACTAATGATGGGAAGTGGAGTAGTTGAGCGTGTCGACCGCTTTACTCATCTTGGAAGTCTTATCAGCCAAAGGACGTGTTTACTGAGCAGCAGTTCGTTCCGTCCTACTTTATGGCAGTGAAACGTGGTCGGTAAGATTAGAGGATATTCGTAAGTTATTGTATTCGATCATAGGTGTCTTCGAAACATTGTCGTATATCCTGGGACCATTGAGTAAGTAACACAGTTGTTAGGAAACGGGTACTAGGTAAGGATGGCAAATCGACTGATGAAGTGGTGAAACTTCATCAGTTGAGATGGCTGGGACCCGTGTTACGTATGCCCAACCACCGACTGCCTCGACGTGCGATGTTCAATGGTATAGGAGTAGGTTGGAAGAAAGCTAAGGGCGGTCAGACCAAAGCATGGCACAAATCCATGAAGTCACTGACAAGTTGACTGAGTCATGTTGGTAGGTGTAGACTACCTGGTTAGGATCCGCGAGATGATAGCAACCGATGGTTAGAGACCCTGAATGACATGGCTCAAAGTCACTTGCGATGGCGCAGGTGCATCCACACTTTGTGTTATCCCAAATTCTAATCTTCTGAATTCTTCGTGTCCATTTTTTGTCTTTCCGAATTTCGCTGGATTATACGCCTTGAATAACATCTTCAAACCCTAATGTTTCCGATTACTGCTTAAACTCTTACCACCTCTTATTTATTTATTTATTTGAACACATATATATTGGTACAGGAGTGCGCCAAACATATATGCGCCACACAATTTCAGTTCATTAATTGCGTGTGGGCTGCGTTACTGCCCGGGTGCCCAGACCGAAGCAGGTGGTTCTCTTAGGGGGCCACACCCCGAGCCATTGACCTAAAGGTCTAACCCACAAGGCAGTGGAGCATCGTAAGGAGATGCAGTCCCATGGTAGCCGGTGACCAACAATTGGTTCATACGCCATTTGTTCCCGCAGGGTACTGGTGCCCATGTGCACCATTGGTTTGGAATCCGGTTAAAGCGCCGGACATTCGCTTTTCGTCCTCTCATTTTCGTAAACAACACCCCCGCCACGAGAAGGCAGTGAGTAGGACTTCCCTGGCAGAGGCTGTATACGCGCGGCCGTGTGAGAGTATTTCGAGAGGAAGGGCGAACCCACCCCGCTCTCGGCCATACCAAGGCGTTTGGGGGCCTTACCACCTCTACCACTACGGGATTTGAATCGACAACTGCATCTTTGTGCTAATGTGGTGTGGCAACCCGAACCGATGTACGTTATTACTGACTGACTGACTGACATACAGATAAATATTTTAACCCTAAGCAAAACCAGTTTATGGACAAAATATTTTCTTTGATTTATTACGCTTCCTTAAAAGAATTACAATGGGGAACTCTGTGTAGCTTAGTTCTGAGAATAGCCTACAATTACTCTGTTCAACGAGAATCAGTATCTAAAACTATCCACCAGGAGTTTATATAAATCCTTTCTCATAATTAGGTCCTTAGTTTTCAATCGTAATCATGGATTTTTAATTGACGGATTCGGACAGCACGAGGTTATAATTAAAAAGAAATGCTAAACTACTATACCGGTTGATTACTTATTAGAAACCAGGAGTGGTTTTTTAAATTTCTTAATGCCAATCAAGCCCTACTGACTAAGCTGCAATACGATCACCCATTTATTCATTCTTATATTGAGTTTACTGCCTTTGAAATTCAGACAATCGAATCCACTTACCAAGGTGTGTTCTAGGTTCAATGCTACTATATACAGAACAAAACTTTGTTGCTACATACCAAGAATGGATTAGGTAACTAATACGCGAAGCAAGGAAGTGTTTGTTGTTTATCGGTATCCTGTTTCCCTTTGTTAACTAAAAGTGAGAATAATGGGAACCAATCGTAAGCCGAGATGAATGGTACATAGCAAGGGACAAGAAGCCTGTCCCGAATTTCTCTGCTATCCATCATTCACCTCCACTGACGATGCTTGTGACCTAATGTCAACGTCGTGGCTATCCTTATGGGATGTATATATGCCAAAAAAGACTGATAAATTCCAGTCCCAAAAATTAGTGGAAAATTCAAAACAACTGTTATATATGAATGTGAACCGAGTAACTCAAACTATAGAGATAAGAGAACAAATGTTTCTGCGAGGCCAGACATAAACAAAACCGCAATACAAGTGATCGAAATAAACTACTAGAAAGGGTTAGTAAAAGGGTCCTAGTATCTTCAAATCTCTTGAATTAATAAAGTAACTGATATAACAGTATATCATTTAATTGACGCGTATCATAAAAAAGTGAAGAACCTTGATGTGGCCTTGCTACTGGACAATAAAGTTGAACAAACTCGCGATATTCGACCAGTGGTTATTTATGCAAGCTATCATTAATTGTAATTGATTAAGGAATCGACAATAAACAACTGAGATAAAGCACATGGAGCAAAATATTGACTTTACTACGAAAATGAGGAAGAAAGCACAATGTGTTACGTTTTATTTCTTCACTACTTAAACTCTTGGTTCATCATAATCATGTAAACATTAAAGAAAAACTCACAAACATATAATAATCGTTCATCTAGTACTCCAGCTAAGAACAGTCCGTGGACATATTGGGAAACCTGTATTTACATCGCCTGGCAAAATGGCTCACATACTAATGACACAAGTGATTATGAAGTCATATCTTACCAGTTGCATTGTACTGAACAGTTCTGTGAATGACTTGAAATGCCCATAATAGCTTTCGAATAAGGAATTACGAGCATCACCTGAGTAGACCATAACAACGATCCCTCACGTTTTGTATAAATATGCTACAGTAAATACAGTGTGAGAATAAAGTCCTGACAAGGCTTGCTTTCGATATCACAAATAAGCTTTCTACACGCTTATCTATCTTAAGTACAACAACTGCTTTCGAAGAATCCTCTATAAATTTGTGTTCTCTTAAACCCCTGTCAATTAATACCAAAGTAACATTCATAAACGCTGAACTGACAGAATAAAAAATCTATTCGCGAAGCGTTTATTCAAAACTTGAAAAAGGTAAACTTTACACCGGGGAACAAAACAGGAGACACTGCATCACCATGCGTTTTTTTATTCACATCTTCACAAGCCACAAACATTACACAGAGCTTAGTACCATGCACACATACGCCTTTATGTCTTAGTATATTTGTCAAAAAACACTTTTAAGTTTCATCGAAAGCATTTCATTACTACTCTAACACTTCAAAGCACTGATCTGATGACTCCTGAATCATACGATTTCAAATAAGGCAAGACAGTATACAATAACCTAAACCAAACAAAACGTAAGCATTAGGAAAAGGACTAAATGCAAGTTTATTCGTTAAATTTATCATATTTTAGTGCCATACCTAGATTCAAAACTTTAATTACCTGAATTGCGAATTGAAAAACTGTCTAGGGAGCGCTGAAGAATCAAATATTTCTTGCGCGACTCTTTGGAATTCTTGATGTACATGTCTGAATGCCCTCTCATGAGCCATGAGCGCCCGACTGAAATGATTATCATTCATCATCGAATTCGAAAAGAAATTTCCCGGCAAAAAGCATGAAAACAAGTCATCTCCGAACATTGTCGTTATTGATCAATTTCAAACCACGCGGACGTAGCCAGTAGCAGTTGCTAATATAAATGAAGACACAAAAGAAAGATAATGGTTTGGATACCGACTTTTTTGACGAGAATCGCCATAAGCGTGTTTTTTGTTTACTTTTCGAGAATCAAATGTTCATAAAGTTACTTCTGACAAAGCGAAAATTTAAATCTTTGTCAAATACGAACATCTTACGTGTTCTACGATCCTTTTGAAGCAAATTGAAATCATCTTCGGTTTTCATAGAACAGCAAATAATTGGTTTCTTAAGAAACAATAAATTCAGTCGGTCTAGTTTCCTCTTGAAGATCGTGAAATTAAATCAGATAAAGTAGTGCCCCCTAAATGTTTGAAAGTGGTCATAAAAGTTTCAGGCATGTCAACGTCATTGTCTCTAACGCATACATAATCGAGAATCACCAACAAATTTGAACTGGAATTCAAGAATAAAGTTTTTCGTTGCATGCCTGATACTTTGGTCCTCCAGTTTGCAAGAGCTCTGCTTAGTGAGCAGAATTTGGTTCTGCAAATAATTTCGAAGCCAGAGAAGGATTAAAAATGATCTCACAAATCTTGCCTATAGCACACGCGGCACAACATCAAATCCCTTCGAAAGTCAAATAAGTTTACCTGTTTTTATATTTTGCTGTCCCAGCAGAGGGTTCAGATTTTTATTCGTCCAACTGTCATTCTTACAGTTTTTTCATCTAGTCATTCAGTAACAATGTAGAACTTCGAACGTACGCACATCAGTTCCAGTTGCCAAACCTTATTACCACAGTGAAGCAGTTATTGATTCAGATCTCATAGTAGTAGAGGTAGGAAGACTATAAGCATTAATCGGAAACATTAGGGTTTGAAGATGTTATTCAAGGAGTATAATCCAGTGAAATAAATTTGTAAAGCGAAAAAAGGGACATGAAGAATTCATAAGATTAAGATTTGGGAAAACACCTGCACCTGCGTCATTGCAAACGATTTTTTTTGCATAGTCAACGCATTTATTTTCTTTCCTTTCTCCTCGGCATTTCAATTACATAGTTTTGTAGCAACACTTTGCATTATAGTGTGGGATCTACTGGTTCTGGAAACTCTGCAGTCACTGAACAAATACGTTGAATTAATTTTAGAGGGGTTTTGTGGACATTATAGTATTTTCAATGGCTGAGATTGAATTAAGTTCAAGATTTTGCTCGCATATAGATAACTATCGAATTCACTCATACCTGCGCATGAGAGCGGGTAGACTACCCATACGGGACGACACCAAAGAGATGAGGCTCTACTTTGAACTTAATAATTTATCTCAAGTTGGTTCACACTAGCTATTCACAAAGACTTCGAAATCTAGCTAAAACAAATAAGGGTGAACTTTGATTCAAAAGTATGTCGGATGCCTACGCGGAGGTGGAGTAATGTATGACTTCTAAAATATCTAGACTGAGTAAGAACTGAACAATGTGGCAGGCTGTGACGTAGCCTCAGAGAATCCTCTATCATACGCTTTCAGCTGGTTCTCGCCCTGTGAAACGGAAATTATTGACCTCAATCTATATTCCTACTATAGTTATTTATGCAGTTACTCGTCTGTATTTTTGTTAAATGTTCATTTTTAATAACAATTACTATCTTCTGGAAATTAATTGGATTGGATTTTTGTCATGAGAACACCTAAGTCCATACTGCTTGTAGATAGCTGATGAAATGTTTAAACACATTTATTGACCATGTTTAAGAAAGTAAGATAAGGCTGTATTAGATTAACCATACATAAAAGAGTGACTACAGTTTCAGTTTGGAAAGGACAGGAGGCATGATGGCCTGTGTTAGTCCTGGCAATGGTGGTCTCTCAGTTGATACAACGTTCTTTTGAAAAAGTCGACGGATGGGGCTTCAATCACGTGCTGAGGTAATGAATTACACTCGTTGATGATTCAGTGCGAAAGTCGATAGTCAGCTGACAAGTAATTTGTTCTGGGCTTGTGGACTAATTTGGAGTGTCCTCGTAAATTCTCTGTTTTGGAAGACAAGAAAAATGAGGCCATATCAGGTGCAAATTTGGCACTAAGCAATTTGAAGACTGTAATCAAGTCGCCTCTAGTTCTGCGATATGACAACGGGAATAGGTTCAGCTTGGCCAGTCGAGCTTCATACGGAAGCTTCGTTATTCCGGGAATCAGCTTAGTTACCGTTCTCTGAACCTTTTCCAGGAGCTCACTGTCTTTTTTTAATCAGGGGCTGGCCGCTTGTATGCAGTATATAAAGTCAAAAATGTCTTAGTGTCGACATGACTAAAAGCACTTTGTATTGACCGTAACGTTCTAAAACCTTTGGCAGCTATTGCACGGCAGTGTGTAGTAGTTATTATTATTATTATTATTATTATTCACAAACATCTTATGAGTACATAAGTGTTGTGAAGAAACCATTTCGGGTTTCTTCAAAAAATGCAATAAAACACAATTTTCAATAATGTCAGCATTATACTTGCCATTTAAAAAAAATTAGAGCAATAATAGTGGAATATTAATAATAATAAATCGGGTCTGTGCAATTGAGAAGAATATTGAATTGAGTTTAAAGAAGGAAATGGAGAAAATAAGGGAATAGAAATAAAGGAGACGTGAAATACGCAAACAGTCTAATAGGCGTGTTTATGAACACAGAACAAGAATGAACGACTATTTGTGTATCGTTAAATTAGTAACAAAAATAATCAAGAGAAAATAACTTATAATTGCAGTAAGATATGACAATAGAATAAGTGTTTGTGCAGTCATAGTTTGGAGTGATGCTATGAAAGTCTCAATTGAGTGAAAAGGATAATGAAATATCAATATGTATGAGTCATATATGCATAGTGAAGATAAAACGAATCTGAGAAGTTAATTAAAGTGTAACACAAGTTATTGTTTTAATTACAAACTTCGTAATCTTAAGAATAATATTTATTTAGAGGGAAAGAAGAGAAAGAAAAGAAGTGAACACCTAGTGAAAAGATTCATCCATGATAAAAATAATAATTGTGTAATGAATATCAACCTCAGAAGGAAACCAGATATTTAAATAAAAAAATCCTTTAAAGCACTCGGATGAATACATTTAGATTTATGTAATAGTATACAGAGTGAAACCGGATATTAGTATAAATATTTGTGCAACAATAACTAAGATTGATGGTATGAAAGTCGAAATTGATTTCAAAGGACAATCTGGAGTTAAATATGTTTAGAAGGATAAGAAGATACAAAAAGAATATCTAATGTGACAAGGAACTAATAATTACATTAATAACGGTAATAATGATAAACACGAACATAAGCAGATTTCATATATTAAGATAAATAGAAATAAAATAAAATAGACGTGGAAAGATTTAAAGGTTTTATTTTGCTTTTCATGCAATTAAATGGATGATGGACCTTGTTTGTATAAATCATTATTGAATACATTGATATTCAATAGGTGACATAATCCACTTTCAGAAAGAAAATCGTCAAGGAGACTTTTGAACCGGGTTGTAGTTTCACTGCAACGGAGGTTCACTGGCAGTCTGTTCCACATGGTTGAGTAGCGAATAAGGAAAAAATTCTGACGTAAGTTTGTGTGGGTTCTTGGAATCGCTAGAATATTCTCCTTATTGCGTAGATTGTGGGATGATATTATAAGGTATGAAGGGGTAGATACCGATGAGTAGGAAATACCGTTAATAAGCCGGTAGATAAAGACAAGATTTAATTTGATACGTCTGATCCAAAGAGGTTCTAAGTTGAGTTGTTGACATCTTTGGTGATAGTCTTTGTTATCGGAATACCCCAGAACAGCTTTGGTGAACTTTCTTTGAACACCTTTAAATCTAATCAGGTCATTATGTCTACAATTACTGTAAACTAAAATACCATATTCAAGAATGGGTAAGATACATTTTCTGTATAGTAACAATCTCGATTCGATATTATTGAAGTTTATCATTATCAATCCGATCAGCTTTCTAGCTTTGGATACTTGAGATATAATGTGTTCAAAAAAGTTCAGACTATTGCTATATCTTAAACCCAGGTCACGAACAGTGTTGAGAGGTTTGAGTGTATGTGTCTGTACAGTCAGATTTCAGTTAAGACAGCGACCAATGTGAATAAATCCACTTTTGTCAACATTAAGTGGTAAATTCCACGAAATAGTCCATTCGTACAACTTGTTTATTTCCTCTTGGATTACCACTGAAATATAGCTTTCTTTCGTGGGAGAAGAGAAAGAATAAACTACTTTCAGGTCATCAGCAAAAAGGAAAGGCTTACCATACTGAAAGAGGAAACACACATCATTGATAAAAAGGAGAAAGAGCAATGGACCAACCAGACTTTCTTGTATAACCCCACTGGTTACATTCACAGGTTTAGAGTAGCAAGATCCAAAGCGAACGATTTGGCTACGTTCTTCTAAAAAAGATTTGAGCCAAGATAAAAAAGGACTCTGTATGCCAAATGAAGAGAGTTTTAAGAGAAGAAGTTTGTGTGAGACACTGTCAAAAGCCTTACTAAAATCGAAGTAAAGAACTATCACTGACTGACCAACATCTCTTCTCTGGGTAATTTGATCAAAAAACTCCAGGTGCGATGTGAAACATGAGCGTTTAGTCATAAACCCGTGCTAAAAATGAGCTGATCAGACTAGCCGATCAGACTACTCTTTAAGTCTTGGCTAGCGATGACTCCTAAGTCATTATATGTCTGGACGACAGGTAGCTCAGTGTTATTCATCATGTATGTATCTGTACCTTGATGACCGATATGCATCACAACACACTGTGAAGTATTTATCGGCAACTGCCAGGTTTCAGACCATTCAGATAATTTCTTTAGGTCAGTTTGAAGTTCTAAGCTATCACCCTCACATCGTATCGTTCTCCATATCTTGACATCGTCAGCATATAGCAAGACCGATGATGATAGGAGACGAGGAAGGTCATTTACATACAA